CAAAACTACAAAGGTTGTAAGAATTGTTACATGAAGTAATAGACTTGTAAAACTCACCAAGACCCCGAATTGACTGTGCTCTCTCATCAAACCATGAAAGCGTTCAGGAACCGTCTCATACATTTCTGATAAAACGCCGGCTTCCTCAGCCGCCTTTGTAACATATCTCTGGGGGCTGTTGACAAGACTCTGTTGGGGACGAGAACTGTTGATAATGACCGTATTGTAGTCGTTAGGAAGGAACATCTCGCAGGTGAGGCTGAACATTCGACCGATCGACGCGATCTCCTCTTCATGCTTCACGATAATTGGAGGATACCCACTGGTGCCTTGACTACGTCGCGAGCGCTTCGGCTGGTTGACCTTGATCGTCGCCAACTCTTCACGAAGTTGACGGACTTCCTTGTCGTGCTTGCCACACAATAACTGTGCTTTTTTTAAAGCCTAAACTTTACAGTGAACGTAGAACTTCAATACAAAGGGGAAATGAACCTCGTCATACTCTTCTCTTGTAGGATTTGAGCTGACAGCCAGAACATGTGCCGCTCCACCAAGAGAAAGGAGATCATTCTCGGGGCCAGAATCATCCGAACTCGATGATCCGCTGGATGGAGAGTCGAACTCTTCGCCACTGGACTGAGGAGGTTGGACTTGGCGGCGAGGCATATTGAAAGGAGTCTGTCAGCGGCGTAAGCGTGAAGGTGAGGTTGAGTCGTCAATGGGGAAGGTAGAATTTTGGACGGGGTTCTGTATTTATCGATACCTTGATGTAATCTACAGCAAGGCGCCGGTATTTTCTAGTTGGTTGCTGTTAAGTTGCATGGCTGGTGAGTGTATTGAATGCACTGCCATTTCATAGCATGCCGAGCATAGTACTACGTAAGTGTGAAGGAACAATGTCAGGCAGGGACTGGTATAATCAACGAGGCGTACATTATTTCGGATGTCAAGGCTCCGACCCTGCTCTTTCGAGCGGATAGAAAAATCTGTCTTTCATTTAATATATAATGGCCTTGGTCAGAAACTCGCACCAACCAAGAAATTAAAGAACCTACCGATATTGCATGCAAAATCTGGGAGGGAAATGATACAAATTGGCTTCGTGTCGATTCACAAGTGTCACCGGTTGCTTCGGATACTCGGGCATCAACGCCTGTGCATCATATGCGCTGCGTGAAATCAATGAGGCTGGAATCTCGGGCCACAAAGTAGGATAGGATCAGTGGCCTTGGTGTGGTCCAACTATAGTCTGCACGCCAGCCACACAAGCGCCCAAAGTTGTCGGACAGTCCCACGGGCTCAAAGAGCATCGCCTTCACCGAGGAGGAAATGAAGGGAGGGTGTTGACGAGTTCTGATCAGTATTCAGAGGCTGCACAGTCCTCGCTTCAGCTAATGCTCACCACTACCGCCGGAACTTTCTACCACCATCGTGCGGATAAACCCTCTCTGGATCCTTTGCCATATTTGCGATCGCATGCGGAACCTGGAAGCCCGCCCAAAGTAAATTCCGTTGAACCTGCATAAAGCACGTAATACCGCACCTCCTCACTCAAACCTCCTGCAAGACCTGATCATGAAGTTCATGTGGAAGGTCGCCGATCGCACTTCGCGTGTTGACAATCTCCTGCCACCAGTCCTCTTGCTGAGAAGAGACGTGCGCCGTAACCGTTTTGCAAATTGATCGGTTGGGTACTCCTGTATCGTTACACGACGAATCTAATACACGAGTGTTGTTTAGCAGAAAGATCTGGATCGCGATAGGCAAAGAAAGCATGCACATAAATTTTGAGGGGATCCTGAACGCATTGCACGTTGTGCCAAGCCTACTAATATCCCGATAGTCTGGTTCTCAACCCGAGACGTGCTCATTGTTGCACGTGTTATCGCTCATGATGCTTCCTCCACTCCCTCGAGTACCTCACCCATTCCACAAACTTTCCATGCGCCGGAACAGCTAGAAAACTTATCACTCCTCTCCCCCCTCGCAACGTTCGTCAACTCTCTGATAAGATCATTGAAGATCCCTGGACCCCGAGTTGTCGTTTGCGCGAGGAGATATTCAAATGTGAGGTAAGGTGCATATGCTGGCCAGAGAAGGGCGTCATTGAATTCTCGTGAGATTGCTTCGATGAGTGGGAGAGCTTGACAGATAAGGCGCGCTGCATCCTCGTTTTTCACAAGTTGCTTCCACGGAGAGAAAGTGACAGTTATACTTACACGTGAAAGTTAGTTGGCATTGTCAACAACCAATCCAAAGGTAGTCAGTTGGCAGCCGCTCGAAAGGGCCTTGGGGATTGACCTTGACGCTGAGAACTAGATATTAAGTGGTGATTACATGACATGATTTCAAAAGATAAGATTGCAATCCACGTTGAAATCGGTATCAATAACTATGGACCGATCTCAACCGGCTTGGCAGGAGTCAACCCCGTGGCAATGACCGTGTTCAGTTGAAATCCGTTGCAACTGGGAATAAACCGGCGTTCTTACCTGATCGCAACGCCGGCCAGTTGTAACTGAGAAAAAAAAAGTCCAACAAAGTCACCCACTTATTCCTTTGTCCTAGCATCCACCACGGAACACAAACGTAAATGAACGTGGATTGTTGAAACACCGTCGAGGCACGAGTGACCTCATTTGCCAGTGCCACCATCGCGACGTTGTCTACTAGTGAGCTTTACGACATGGGAGACATCTGTGCATGCAGCGGTTAATCAACCCTGTGTCTGACAAGATACCGAGACGCATGAGGTTGGGGTACAGTAGATATTCTCACAATGCATATACTCGTAATGCATAAATCTCATAATGCATGACATTTTCAGGGGACCAACTTGGTACGCGGGGATTTATGCATGGAACATCATATCGAATAATGCATATCATATTTTGGCATTATGCATTACCAGATCTACAGATTTACCGGGTATTTACCTGTTCACCTCATTGTACCTGAGTTTTTCAGGACCAAAGTCTACCCTAATATACCCTGCCATGAATACACTGCTCGAGAGTAGTATCCAATTTTGCCAATCATTCTATGCCAGCTGCTGAGGAGAAGAAGCGGAAACCTGGAGACGGGCACAAGCCCTATGCACCTCGCGGAGGGAATGGAGCTGTGCGAGCATTTGGTGTGTCATCCACTCAGAGGCTCGCGGCGTGTCAACACTGCTTTTGCAACAACAATTGCGCAAATTGAGGGCTCATCTTCATGTTGTTCAAGTGAAATCAGCCTGACAAACTACTCTCAACTCTTTTTTCAGTAGTAACCTCTCTCCCATGGATGTCGATAGCCTGTAAATATCCAGTCTTTCCAGTTTTCGTCTCACTACATAAAGGACATTTCGAAGCGTGACATTTTTTGGCTGAGGTCACAAATAGTCACATTTTGTGACATATTTCATCTTGCATAAATCTCACAATGCATAGAAAAAGTCGGGGACCGGCATTATGCATTGTGAGAATATCTACTGTACTTGCTTACTTTTATTTGCCACTCAGGCTGTCGCGACGTGTTCACTGAATCAAGCGTTTTTTCAAGCCGCTTGTCTGCTAGTGGACATTACGACACTGTGCGCAGCGGTTATTCAACCCTGTGTTGAATGTTTGACAAGATGCCGAGACGTCCTGCACGAGGGTGGGGTACTTACTTGCTTTGTCTCGAATCGGCACGGTCTTCCTAGTAGTGACTTCAGACATGCCAGTGCTTATAAGGCGGGCCACGCTCACTCACTTATTCCTTTGTCCTAGCAATTGCACCCACCCCCTACGGCCGGCACCATTGACATCAACACTGATCGTCGCGTCCCCAGGATCCAGCCAGGGCATAAGCATGGCATATCGATGTCATCTTTCCTTTCTTTCTTTCTTTGGGTTTGTGGGTGCGGGGCAAGCTCGATATCACTCAGGACCTCTCAGGACCTGAATCAACGCTCTGATTCTGAATAGCGAGACTTGGCGTTGATCTACGACTCTCGAGGAAGGCGTTGGGTCAAGTGACCAGACCTCGTTCTGAATCTGATTTCGAAATTCAGGAAAAGTGTCAGTGAGCGGACCTTGTATAGTAGATGATGGGAGGCTTGAGCCTTCAAGGAGTTATGGAGGACAGACGCTCGTTGACCATGGGCGCGTGGCGTATTTGAAATATAGTCGAACCATGTTTGTGTGTTGGGCAGTGATTAATGAGGTGCAATGGCAAATGGCGCCGACGTTTCGGAGTGTGATAGTATCGCTTCCGATACTAGGAAGCGAGGGGATTTCAATGATCAACTTTGAAGTCGTTGGTTCTTTCTCAATTTACGGCACACGACATATGTCGAACCGTACTCCGACACCGTCTTTTTGTTTAGAAACCGTGTGTTGGAGGTTCACGCTCACGCTAGACGTGCATTGCAATCATCAAGGGATTGAATTGAGATTGCTAGTTAAGTAGTTGACGAGAATCGCATTCAGGGTGGGTGATCGTGCAGGATCTTGGCTATGGGGTAGCTTGTTGATCGTTGTGCGAGTGTGAGTTGCGTGTGTTGTTATTGGTAAGTAGGAAAGTGGAGGAGGAGACGACTGAATTGTATCCACGAGGAGAATTTGGTACCTTGTTATGCAGTGATGATGATGATACTGATTGTGTACCTTTCTTTACACGCGATGGGGTCGGTAACGAAACACGTGGATTAGTTCGGCATGGCCTGGGGTTCAAAGTCCGTGGACGGGGGAAGGGGTGTGGAATGAGGATATACATATGGAGATTCAGTGACGGAGCAGGGGTCGGACCATAGATCTGGAGAGGGTGCTGTGCGGCGGCTATAGAAAGGGCACGGGCCGACTATGGGAGGTGTTGGTAAACACGGCATAACATTTGTACAAACAGGGGTGTATATTGTGTGATATCGGAGCGACGAACTTGCTTGGTTACTTGCTTACAATCCGTTTTGGTTAATGGCTTCCACATCTCAACCCATCGCACTCCCTTCGAATAATTCACACAATGCTGACTACAACATGGCAGAGGGCTCTTACACTGGCTCATCTGGCTTCTTCAATCCCGCTTCGTACACCCGCCACTTTCTCGGCTCACCCATCTCATGGCTTGCTGGCTCGTTTGGCGTTGGTTCCTTTGGCGGCGGTCGCTTTCCCATGGGTTCGCCAACTGCTCAACTGCTCAGCTCGATAGAGTATGTTTACCTTTTGCTCACTCGCTTACACCCTCGTATTAACCGGCAATCAGTCCGAATGAATTTAGAGCAGGTAAGACACCGTCGTCCACAGACGGGTCTATCCTCAATGCACTCAACGTATTTGACCGAGATAGAGAACTCGTCAGTCATTTGCTTAGTTTTTTTTCCATTCTGCCTCTGACTTGTACATGTTTCAGTGTCAAAATTACACTTGCTGTGGTCTTCAGCTAAACGATCTTCATGCCCTGTTGGAGCATTTTGAGGAAGTGCACATCGTCGTCCTCGATCCGACCGCACCCCAGCCCCAGGCTCACATCCAGATCCCCTTCTATCCGCAGTCCCATGACTCGGATCCTTCGACATCTCATCACAACAACAAACCTACACCATGTCCTCCTTACCACCAACAACGCAACCAACAACAACCGTATCCAGCTTCGTTTGATGCTGACGATATGGAATTAGAGTTGGATTTAGACAATTCTACCCAACCACCACCCCCTCCTACACCAAGTCAGTCAAGCTCTCATTCATCTCCTTCATCGGGCGCTCCCTCTCCTCCAGATACGCCCATATCCACTCCTTTGTCAGCCTATCCATCACCTCACGCCTTTATTCCCCACCATCTGCCTCAACACAGCCACGTCTCGGCGTATATCTCACAACCCTCCTCACCTTTGTCAAACTACGACAACAGCGTCTCCTCCACGCGCCACTCTTCGCCCACAGCAAGCACGCAACGGCCGAACCTCAACCTCAACCTCTCCTCCTTCCCACGTTCACACCTAAACTCCCCTGCACTCGTCCCAAACCCCGAGGAGGTATTCAACCCTTACGCCCGCTTCTCCTCCGACTACTCCTCCTGCATGCCAGGCGCCCAATTCAACGGCGCCAATGTTGACGAAGCCAGCGCGTTGCACGGAGTATCACCTACGCACTGGCAAGTTGTCCAAGAACAGCAGAATCAACAAAATCAGGGTCAATGCGTCCCTCCTGCCCTTCTCTTCTCCAGCAGCGCGTCTGTCACACCCTCCAGCACCCCTGGCGGCTCGCGCGTTCCGAGTCCGACGACGTACCACCACCCGCTGGCCAACGCAGCACAAAGTCCGATCTCGTCCGTACCGGCTTCTCCAGCCCCAAAGTCACACACTGCGCCTAATAGCGGTGCGTCTACGCCTGTGAGAACTTCGAGCGCCACAGCAGGCGCTACGCTCTCCCGCCCTGGCAGTTCTTTATTGTTATCCAAGCCCTTCCGGTGCCCCAAGCCGAACTGTAATAAATCGTACAAGCAGGCGAATGGGTTGAAGTACCATATGACGCATGGGAGCTGCAACTTTGCGCCTCCGAAGGATTTGGAGCATGTTAAGGATCTTTTGGAGCGGAAGAGGAGGGATAAGGAGAGGGAGGCTGGGTTGACTAGGAGTGCTAGTTGTGGGAGTGCCCTTGGCCCTGCTGCTCCTCCTTCTACCAACGAGGTGATGAATGAACAAGGCGTGTTGACCTATGGCGAACTGGGGAATATCTCTGAAACGGAGCTAAGGGAGGTGGAGAAGGAGGCTGAGAAGCGATTGAGGCCATTTGCGTGTGGAGTGGGCGATTGTCAGAGGCGGTATAAGAATATGAATGGGTTGAGGTATCATTATCAGCATTCGGGCGATCATGGTGCTGTTGGGCTTGCGCTGCTTGCGAGTGGGCAGCATGAGTGTTTGCAGCATGGGGCGCAGAAACGTCAACAGCTCCAACAACAACAAGGAGGGGGAGGGGCAGGGACGGAAGCGGAGAGGGAGGGGAGGAAGAGGTTTTTAGGCTGTGGGAAGGGGAGCGCGAGCGTTCCTGTTAGTAGGGCTGGGAGTGCTAGTCGGACGGGGACGCCTTCTTTGCCGCCGGTTACGGTGCATTATTCGACTGGGACGACGCCGACGGGGGTACCGCCTACTACGGCGATGACGACGCCTATTCAGGCTACGCCTGTTCAGCCTTTTCCTTCGAATGGGGTGAATGGGAATGGCGTGGTGTCGACGCCTGCTTCGCCTACGTTTACGGCTCAACAGCAACAGCAGCAACAGCAACAGATGGCGTATCAGTATGCGCATGTTCATGCGCAGATGCAGAGACAGTATGCGGTTATGCAGCAGCAGCAGGCGCAAGTCCAGGCTCAGCAGCAGGCGGCGCAACAAGCCCAACAACAGGCGCAACAACAGGCGGCGCAGGTTCAAGCTCAACAACAGGCGGCGCAACAACAAGCCCAAGTTGCACAAGCGCAACAGCAAGCGCAGATCGCACATCAAGTACACATGCAGAGTTCATCGCCACATATGCATGTGGCTTCCCCACACCAACAAGTCCACTCGCCACAGTCGCCGTCGAGGTATTCGCATTCGCCTAGGCATTCGCATTCGTCTTCGCAGGGGTCTGATTCGTCGTATCATGGTGAGGCTCAGCAGGGGCAGCAGCAGGGATTTGGTGATCACCAGCAGCAGGGGTTTGGGGACCAGCAGCAGCAGGGATTTGTTGGGCAGCAAGCTCAACAACAGGGATTTATTGAGCAACAGCAAAACTTCGTTGATCAGCAACAGCAAAATTTCGTTGACCAGACTCAACAGCAGCAACAACAGCACTTTACGGACACCCATTTTGCGGCGTTGTATGCGCAACATCAGCAGCAGTTGTATGCTGCTGCTGGTGGTCATGCGATGGATATGTCTTGAAGAGACATTGTCAGAAACGTTGTATCATTTATCTATCTATCGATTTATCTGTGCGTTTTTCTTCCCCCTTCTTGTGGTGTGGTGTTCCTTCGTACTGATTGGAGTGTTGTTATATTACAGAATCACCCGGCTGCTTGCTTGTTCTTTGCTTCCCTCCTTTCCGACTCAACTCGACTCTTGTTTGTACCATCCCTGCTCCCTCCTTGCCTTTCCTTTGTCGATTTTTTGTTAAAAGTATCTATACTATATTGTTACATATTATTCCATCCCCTCCCCCATCTTATCCTTCTCCCTAATTTCATCCCCCTCCCCCACCTCCATTTTTTCATTCTTGTAATATCCCTCGGTTCCCCGACGTCACATATGCAGTCGACCACTCACCCGCCCTCACCAACCCCCCACGTCGTCGCTTGGCCAACCTCCATCCGCCCCACGTCGTCATCGCTCAAAATCGCGTTTCGTGCTCCCCAAGGCTGGTTCCTCGGAGACCGAAGGATAATATTCCCGACTGGCTCCACCCAACCAACCAATGCCTACCTACATCGAGCCACGAACCCAACAACCAACGCCACCCAACCACCCCAACAAAAAATAGATTCAAGTCGGTAACTAACGCCTTGGTTTTTTTGATATTGCACATATATATAATCTTGCATGTTTTCTTCGTGTAAGATAGATTTTCTTTTTGTTTCCTCGCTACTGACATATATATACGTTTCTTGCCCGTTGAACTACATATAACGAAAACGCGTTTTTTTGCCTAGTCTCTCTCCTCCTCTCCCTTGACCTCTTGATCTTCTTTTTTGACTTGTACCACAAACTTCAAAAGCGGTTTTAGTCTTTTTTAATGTACAATTGTACATAGCTATAGCATTGCCGTATCAAATCACGTCCCAATTCCGTCGTAAGTATATGAAACAGAGAAGATGTTTGAACTTGCTTACATGGGGTTAACTTGTACCTTTGCGCATGTCGCACACGAGCGCTTAGTCCTAACTGTATGTCATTTCAAATTCCGTGGGATGCATAGCCAGTGCATAGCGCAGTACGCCTCGCCACCGACGTCATGAACGTCAAAGTTTCAAAGTTTCAACAATCCCGATTTCACCGTTTATTTGCTCCGCGAAGGGTTTAGTTTTTCGTTTAGCGCTGAAAACTGTCTTGTCACTCAAAGAATCAATATGCGATCATCAGAAAAGTGTGGATGACAGATGTCCGTGGATGGCGGGTTGACATGGTATTGGATGTCGGCTTCGATTCAAGACACCGTGTTGGGCTTCGATGATTCGGCGATGCGGCCGAAATTGCTTTTGTGTATGGATGAATGACCCAGGGAGTCGGATGTAGTGAGAAGTCTTTTGAGGTGAGCCTGATATCTGATATGTACATAGTGGGTAGTAAATATGGCGCTAGGCAGTTCGAACCGCAATGCCGGAGGGTGGAACTTACAGAAGCAGTGTATAACGAACGTTCAATGTCGTACGATGATTCTTTTGCCTTCTGGGGTCGATTCGAAGATAGAGCCTGGAGGACGGGGAGTGGCGTTTAGCTAGGAGCGTTCAGTGTTCGTGTGTGATTCTATCTGGGTTGTGGAATCCAATCGCAACTTGGCCGGCTGGGACGCCTGTGCGTATGCGTTAAAGTGTCTTGTACCGGTACATATGGGCTTCACGGGCAACTTGAACTCTGTAAGCTCGCGTATGTCAGCCCAGTACTGAGGTTTGCTTCACCCTTCAAGATGTACGTTACGGAGTGGACCAAGGCAGTGGAGGTTGACAGTCTGAAGATAGATCTGGCGTTTACATAAATCCCTTGTGAGATAGAGGGCCGCCGAAGAGGGTGAAAGTGTTTCAATTGACAGAGTTGGAGAGATGTTCCCTTCAGAACTCAAGGAATGACGAATGAGACTTCCGGGCTCCCGGCAAGCGGGGTTTTACGGAGTCCCAAGCACAAGTGCTTGACCTAGATTCAGGTCTTCATGAGTTGAGACATTCTCAAGGTAATCAGGGTGCCTTACATTTTGAAAGCCTTCGTGGTCCCATGATCAAATGGCGTCCAAACTTCCGATGAGCCGTTGGGAAGGGTAACACAGAATGGTCATAAGAATAACTTCGATGCGCCAACCTTGGTCAGCCCCTGGTGTGCGCGTCGAATAAGGGAAAGAGAAGGATGTCTTTCCATTTGGGAAGGTCTTCATTTCGAAAAGAATTTCAAGGATTACATGCCAACTAGTGGTAGTACTCGGATCTCGAAGGGAAGTCCAAGAACTATACTTCATTCTCATCGTCCATGTAGTTGTAAACCTGCAGTCCGAGTTCCTTTAACAACCTAGTCTGCTGGACGTCGAATTTGAAGTCCTCCCGATAAAGAGTCGTGATACTCGCGCCAATACTTGAGCGGTGGCGAAGAATGGGTATCAAGTTCTGAAAGACTTGCGTACAGTCGACATCAAATATGCTCCAAAACCTCAGTTTTCGCAACAATGGAAATAGAATTCGTATATCCCGTTCAGCTTCAGCTTTGCTAACATCGAATGGGCTGACCGTCAAAGGCCTATGGGTTCGTTGCAGAACGGCGAATATGCGCCAATCGAAGGGAAAGCTCAACAGCTCCACCCTTTCAAACTTGCGTAGAAGGTCAAGTAGTAGAGACTCCTCCGAATCAGAAACAGTGAGGTCAAGTCCCATCTCGAACTCCAACGATGTTGCTTCTTGAAAGATACTTCCGAATGCGGCGATGATCGCAGCAATGAGAGGATGCCGAGTCATGTCCGACATATGATTCAGTGCTATGCTTACCCTCCCTTCTGCCAAACATCCGTAGCCCCACCAATTTCTGACGCTGATGCACATTCCTTTAATTGTCACGTCAATGCTTGGGTTGTGGCTCCGAGAATTCGATAGTGACATATGACGCGAAAGCTTGACGAAGAGACGTTCGAGATCAACGCCTGAAGTCGCGTCGGTGCAAAAAAGGGCTACATTTGTGGTATCTGGGTGGATAAGATTGCATATAATGGCGGCAGAAACAAGCAGGGATGAGGAAAGGGAGAGTTTCTTCAGGTTTGGAAGATGGGCAGTTGAGAGTATGTTCTCATGAACATCAGAAGTCGCCGATGCGATCCAAACTCTGGCGAGTAAAGGCATATTCGCCAATATGTCTAGCCATTTAGCAGCCGTTGGCGCTCTATGATCTTTTATGTCGTAGACGAACAGAATTTCCAGTCGCTGGAACAAGGGCAGACGGAAGTCGACGTTGCACCCCTGCAGCTCAAGAAGGCGAAGTGAAGGCAAGCATTCCCCGAAATTGGAGGGTAGTAAGAATGACGTCGCTCTCGCTCCCATAAACCGAAGGATGAATTGTTCTACATGTGGTGCTTGCTGAGCGAGGTAAGTAGTCAAGATAGAGTCCACATCTGATGACGATGGCCACCGGAATAAGCTGAAAATTCGCGCTTGACGCAAGTGTTGAAGTGCTCTGGCGAGGGTCTCATTTTTGAGGGATTCGGATTGCAAGTTCAAGTCGATAGGAGATTCTCCTACGCGCCGCAGAAGCTCTTCTGTCCATTCAGGCGCGGCACGGGCGAAGTCAATAACGCGACCCCAAAGCGAGGAGCATCCAAGTGCCACCATGCGCCAAGAGTGGCTGACTTGAGAAAGCCGTGTAGCAACAGCTGCAGGACATGGCGAATCCATGAAAAATACTCCCAGAAAAAAGATACTGGAGAGAATCTCGGAGGGGAGTTTCGATATGGGAAGTGAGAGATTCTGTCTGCGACGATCAGACCAGTGAATTTCCGCTCCATAATCGGATGCCCTGTCGACTTTAAGGACTGTCGGCAATGGGGATGCGTGATCCATCTTCTGAAAAACCAGATAACACAAAGGAACTAAAGGAGGAGGAAATGTTTGAGTTTCTTACCAATCTTCCTTGGTTCTCCTCAACGTTCAACACGTCATCAGCAGCAACAACCTAGAAAGGCCAGTCTCAAAGCAGATGATGTTGGAAACTATTGAGAACTTGAATTAGAAGAACAAAGGAGAATTTCGAAGCCTACGCAATAGCAATGCAAGAGTATTATGGAAGCATTAGAGCCAGTCCTGTAACTGAATGTCGGAGTTTTCTAATTTGGCATCACAACCGGTTCTAACTTGTTGTGGACGTTCCTATCAAAATTGCCGTTATAATTAGGAGCAACCAAAGAGTTTTTGGTTACAATTTTGGTCCCATCCAGGGTGGCAACCTGGTTGCAACAGGTGGCAACGGGAGTTCCGGCGTGATTGTAGCCAATTTTGGGCTAAAAAATGGAAAAATAGAGAACTTTCAACGGTTAGCACTGGTTAGAATGCCGATTCAATGCCGTCCCAATTTCGGCTGGTTGTGACAAAAGAAATAAATCTCCGACAAAGTCTGTGTGGTTGTGTTTTCCGAGGGCATGTCAGCATTGGAAAGTATGGCGATCATGTGTGGCGATCTGTGTGGCGATCTGTATGGCCGGAAACGTGACATTCGACACGTGATGTTCAAATATTAGTTCTGCATTGTGTCGCGTCGCATTGCACGCTTCACCATGCTCCTTATTGACCTAGTTGAGCAGCTCAGAGGTCATGCCGTGCTTCAAGAGATCTCCCTTAGCGTTCTTATGACATTTTCGTAGGGATTGTCATGGCTAACCCCGGGGTATTCCCAGGGTTGTACCCATACCTGTCAGAACTTGTACCCGTCCACGAGTGTGGGTTTTTGCGGGTACGGGTAGCGGATTTATAAAATCCCAGGGGTACCCCAACCTGCAGGAGGGTATGCCTCCATAAATGACCAATGAACCTCGCAAGGGCAGTGCGAGTGTCAATTGACACTGCCGTGCGTCCTTGCGAGGATCGGAAGATCAGGGGAATGGCAACTTCACCCCAGGATTTTGACAGCATAGGCAGGGTTGGTCTGCGAGGCGAGGTCCGTTGGTGGAAGTCGACGTTGTGGGGAATGATACATGGTGGGTTCTTGGGTCGTGGTGCTGTTGTGATGGTCGGTCGGCGGAAAGAAGGGGAGAGTTTGCGGGCGCACCTTGCATACCCACCCTCTCATTGTGGCTATCCTCAACATGCCCTTTCACGCCTGCTCTTTGTGCTCGTTTCGACAGGTTGCTAGAGATGGAGTAGTTAATAATTAGAAAATAAAGAGAAATGCCAGGGGGAGCTCACCTGGGCCCGTGTCCGCTCACGTTTGTGGGCGGTCGTCTTCGTTTGTGGGCGGTCGTTTGCATTCGTGGGCGGGGTCGTCGTGTCCTGGGCGCTCGTCATTTGTTTGTGGGTGTAGGGCTCGTTCGTAGGCACTTACCTGAACAACCTGGACAGCGAAGACGGCATGCGTTGTCACTGTCTGGACGACGTGGCACATCTGCCACGTCGTCTCCACTACCCACACGGCCACGCACTAGTTTTGTGACATGGCAATCCCGGGTTGTTGCTGTCGTCGTCCGTGTGTGCCGGGGTGCTTGTGGGAGGTCGTCGAGGGTAAGTAATGGGTGGACGTCTTGTCTTCCTAACCGGTGATGCAGGACCGATGTAGCCGCCAAACATTCCGCCAAACATTTCGCCACATACACCGCCAAACATTCCAATTCTGACATTTTTTGTGTTTTCCTGACGATGTCTCGAACGCTAACTCGGCCTCATAAGCTGGAACTCTCACATCTCAGGCCTCATCGACGCCAAGTTTTGAATCGAAAAGTTAAAATGTGTCTTTCTGAAAACGAAATCGCTATCCGAGACCTGGAAGCAGAAATTGATGGTGTCAATGCCGCGATGCAAGACTTGAGCGCTGAGCGACAAGCGCAGATCTCTACAAACCCAGCGCAATTCCAAACTTCCTTTCTTCAAACTAACTCCCGAAATATGCGTTGTCATATTTTTATTTGCTTGTCACAAAGGGCGTCTCTCCCTCCGGAATCAGCAGCTGGTCACGACACCCTTCGTCATCAGTAGCGTTTGTCGTGCCTGGCGAGACATGGCGCGCTCAACGCCAGAGCTATGGAGTTCCGTATCGCTTTGCATAGACTTATCTACGGAGGGATCAGCAATTCAAGCAGAACTTTTGGATCAATGGTTGCGTCTTGCACAGGCTTTACCATTATCTATCACAATCACCTTCAACGAGAAAGATGTTTACAAGTGGAACCGCGACTGGGATGGCTATATGCCGATTCCAGAGGATGAGATGATCGTTGGCACCCCATTGCCAACGGACGTTATTTCAGTTGCCTCCTTGTATTCCCATCAATGGGAGTCGCTCGATATTTTCCTCCCCTCTGCCTGGGCTGAAACCCTAGAGTCCACAATAGGTCGCATTCCCAACCTGAGATCATTGAGCTTGCAATTTGTGCCGTATAACTACTCCAGTTATCCGTCATTTTCCAAGACTTTCCTGGATGCACCAAAACTTCGCACGGCGACTTTGGATTTCGAAAGCATGGACGTGGGGCTCCCCTACCATCAACTAGAGAAGCTCACTCTTTCGTCATTCAAAACCACACCCTTTCTAGCCGTCCTCGAAAAATGCTCAAATCTTATGTCTTGCAGAATAATTGAATTATGGAAAGCGGGAAGCTATGATGAATCAGGCTATGCATATTCATACTGGCAGCCCGCCCAACCCACCTCTGTCCAACTTCCGAAGCTCGTATCACTAGAAATCACGAGTTTGCGGCCGTCTGGGTTGCTCGCCTATTTAGTCGCGCCTGCACTCGAAGACATTGGTATTTCTTTGGAGGACAATTCCCAAATCGAGGCTTTTTCCGCCTTTCTTAACCGCTCAAACATCGTCTTGAAACGATTGGCAATCATCGATTATATGCCACGGGAAGAGAATCTATTGATGCTGCTTAATACACTCCCCAATCTATCGCACTTGGAGCTCAGGCTTGATGGGGTCGACCGGGATTCTGCTCGTTTGCGAGGGCTGTCTCGGAATTTTTTTGACTATCTTAGAAGCCCCAATACGACATTGGGTACTTTTCCGTTGCCGTATTTGAAAAGCTTCAAATACCATGGTCCAATGAATTTCAAGTACGAATATCGTGACGGTCTGACAACTTGTGATGAGGAGGCCTTCGGATTCGACATTGAAAAAATGCTTCTAGCCAGATGGAATGCCCACCCCTCCTCCAATGGCGCCTCGCAACTTCAAAAGTTCTATATGACTATCACAAGCTGGCACGGACCATCAAAGGATATGGTCCATATGGACCGATCTTTTGTCGTGAAGGATCTGATCAAGGAGGGCATGGATTTAATGTTTGAGGAAAATGTGATGACGTCTTACCGTGCGTACTAAACCTAAGGCCTAAGGCCAAGGGGGCGTTCACTTTTTTGTACTTTTATGTAACAACTATACGAGCTCTGTGTCTTCGATTGCAATCGAATGCCGATAACTTGTGCAACGAAAAAATTGTAGAACTCGACGCTTAAGCTCACTGCGTCCTGAACTACCCGTCGGAACTGGCATGCATAACCTATTCATTTAGTGGTACAAAAGTCTATTCCGTCTTTTCCTATTTATAAATATCAGAATCTACCCTTCCAACGGCGTCTCCTTGTAAAACTTCATCAAATCCTGGACGTCGTCCTTGCTGCCTAAAAACACAGGGCATCGCTCATGGATACTAGTCGGTACAATGTCAAGAATCCGTTTTGTTCCCGTCGTCGCAATTCCCCCCGCCTATGAGTAAATAAATAAGATGTATGAGTAAGGGTCAACGGCTGCGAGGGGGTGGCAAAGGCGAACCTGTTCTGTCAGATAAGCCATGGGGAACGCCTCGTATAGCAGCCGCAATTTCCCACTCTTGCTCTTCTTATCGTTCGGGTAACCGAAAATCCCGCCGTAGAGAAGGGTGCGGTGGACGTCGGCTACCATTGACCCGATGTACCGGGCACTGTAGGGCGATTTTGGAGGCGCCGGGAATTTGATAGATTTGAGATAGGCGGTCACTGGTGGGTGGAAGTACATGGCGTTTCCTTCATTGAAGGAATATATTTTCCCCCGAGATGGTATGGTGATCTAGATGAAATCAATATGTGAGACTTGGTGAGAAAGAATAAACGTACGTTAGGATGGGTAAGGATGAACTCTCCGAGCGATGCATCAAGAGTGTACCCATTGACCCCTGATCCAGTTGAAAGAACGAGATTTGCAGAGGATCCATACCTAAGACGACGTTAGTGACATCCACATGTATCACAGCTATCAAGCTTGCATGGTATAACCAGCAGCCACCATCTCGCTACCGGGTCTGAGGACATCTTCTATAGTCCCAGTGGAGTCTGGTCTCTTCACGTGCGGGTTAAATCCATCTGAAATTATCGAAAATGAAAACGATCTAAAACTCACCACTCTGTAGATGCCAAAGATCGTGCCGATGTTGACACCGGCGTCGATGTTACTGCTACCATCCAGAGGATCAAAGACCACGCAGTATTTGCCCTTATACCCATCTTCAATTATGATAGCGTCGTCTAGCTCTTCAGATACAAGAACGGCTGTTTTTCCAGAAGCGCGCAGGGCGTTGACCATAATATCATTTGAAAGCACGTCGAGCTTCTTTTGCTCCTCCCCTTGCACATTCGTCTCGCCCGCCAGACCAACCCTAGGGATGGGTGTCAGATAGAAACCCCCTGCAAATCGCAACACTTACAAGTTGATGAGCCGAGCCTTCCGTACATTGGTGGCAATAAATTTAGACGTCACTTGGATGGCAGTCAGCAACAACGTCAGATCTCCCGTCGCCGTCGACCCCAAGCGCAGTTGATCGCTAAGAACATGACTAGCGTGAAACATCAGAATCGCGTAGTCTGGGTAATTCGAACGCGCACATACCGAGTAAGAGTGATGAGGTCGACGTTGGGGGTCTCTTCCGAAGTCATTTTGTGGATGTGTACGATGAGAGTGTGGGTCTATATGAGCGGCGGGGGCGGATGGGCTCGGGAGTTGAACGGTGCGGATATTTGGCTCCGTCCGAGTACAAGTGACTAAATCACATGGGGAGCGGTATCCCGGCCCGACAACTCCCGTTGACCTGCAGTAATGAGCGGCGCCACTGAGGTTCATTTCAACTCTCACTACCTTAGAGAGCAGCATAAGATTGCCGGTTTGTTCTTCAAAAATATGGCTTCACTTTTCTGACCTTCTGCACCTGGACGATCGTTAAATCACTGCGTTATTCAAGTTTCTACCCGTAAAGTCACCTTCTTGCAACTTTCTACACCCCAGCTGTTCGATCCTCGCTTTGCTATGTCTAGCTGGTTGATCGAGCTGGACATTTAAAACACCTCGCTACTGATCTTATTCCTTCAGGTGGACCGACCCTTCGGGTGCCTTCGCAGACATAAGGCTAAATACGTCGTAGTGTCAAAGGCGACCCAGCTCCGACCGATGCTAATTAACGGCTCTTCTTGTTTATCTTGTCGTACATTCGTGGAGGACTTTTGAAAAAATTGTGAAGATCCGGAATATTCTGTTCATGCCAACCACCAGGTGTTCCCGTCTCATGACTCTCTCAACAGCCGGGGTTTTTTTTTTTGTCAACCCGGGCCCCGTTGACATCCGCTTTCGTGGAGCTCTCGAGTCCGTCGCTTTCCAACTCTCTAAACCAGTTGAGTCATTTTCTGATAAAGGAGGGTGTTTCAATGAATGATCCTATTAATGTGTTATGCAGATTATTAAATTCAGGAGCATTCGACAAGAATATGAAACATCGATTTCTGCAACGTTAACCACCTCATAGACCGATAGTGTAGCTCCGCCAAATTTTTTCCTTCCGGTGGATTGACCTTCTGCGTGAAGGCCGGGTTGGATAACCTTTGGCTTATGACCCAGAACCAGCTGAGTTTTTCCTGAAAGTCAACATCTCAATGAGCGCATACTTCAGACGCTTATGCTATAGCTTTATTTCCGCTTGGGAGATAATATTCAACCTCATTTGGTCACGCAACAGCTATGTTTAGAGAAGGGGCAAATGATGCGTTGCGTGTGGTCGGTTCTTTGAAGTTGAATAATGCTCGCCGTATTTATGATCGCCATCACGGACTTTGCTCAGCTCTCATGCGGCTGGCTGGCCTATGACTCGGAGCCAAAAAAATATAGACGGCTTGCTTCTTGTTTTCTTAAACATTAGGCAGGTCGGAGGCCATGGCCAGTAAATCATTTCATGGACATTTTATAAAATTGTACCATCCTTACGCTGCGTTTAAATTTTTGGAGCATCATGCCTGGCGATCGAAGATACTCGGTGACCTGGTAAGTGCCGGTTAATCGGGGCCTTCACGTATATCGCTTGAACGTAATTCAGAGGGGTGGAGGGTGAGCAGCAGGGAAGGCACGTTATGTTCGATTGGCTGTTGAACATTTGCGGGAGATGTGTTTTACTGAGGTAATGCACGCAGACCCAGGACATCCCTGGCCCTGTACGTAAAATATTCGACAATGGGGAACAGGGGCAACATGTGCACGTGCCATCCGGAGTACCAAACTGAGTTTGAACATTTAGGTTCACCCTTTGCCCGAACTTGAGGACGTTTTCTTGTCTTCGTGTTCAATCCAACCCCTTGAACGACAATACCCCTCCTCTTCTCTCCCCTTAATTCATAATGTGAGTACACCCATCGTCCATATCATTGTGCAGCGCGTCGCTAGCAGTCTACGACTTCGTGTCGTTCAAGACGCGCTCTTATTGTCGCGTTGGCTTTGTCGTACCACTTTTGAGCCACGTTTTAAATTGCTGACTTTCGTCGTTCAGCATGCGTGAAATCGTCCACTTGCAGACCGGCCAGGTCAGTGCCATCTCCCTACTTGATTTTCAATCTTCTGACGGCCTCGTGTTTTCATCAATGACAGTGCGGTAACCAAATTGGTACATTACCTTGTATCGGTGGCGAGACTGCAGATTCTAATCACTATTGCCTCTTTTTCTTTAGGTGCCAAGTTCTGGGAAGTTGTCTCTGACGAGCACGGCATTGAGCGGGACGGTCTCTACAAGGGGAATAACGACCTCCAACTTGAACGTATTTCGGTCTACTACAATGAGATCGGTGCCAACAAATACGTTCCCCGCGCTGTCCTGGTTGACCTGGAGCCCGGAACAATGGATTCGGTGCGATCAGGACCCCTCGGTGGTCTTTTCCGCCCCGACAACTTCGTGTTCGGTCAAAGTGGTGCGGGAAACAACTGGGCGAAAGGACGTGAGTCAGATCATTCTTGTTCTTTTGTGGGATGCGGCCTAGGCATCCTTGCCTCCTTTTCTTCGCGTTCGACGCGTCTTTTGGAATTCTTCGTCCCAGATCGATCAACCCATGTGATAATCAGTACTTACATCGTCCACCCACAGATTACACAGAAGGAGCTGAGCTCGTTGACTCTGTTCTTGATGTCGTTCGCAAGGAGGCCGAGGGCACCGATTGCCTGCAGGGTATGTCATTGCCCCCTGAATAACAACCAAATTTCCCAACTTGCCACGTGACAGGTTTCCAAATCACCCACTCACTCGGTGGTGGAACTGGTGCTGGTATGGGTACCCTCCTGATCTCAAAAATCCGTGAGGAGTACCCCGACCGAATGATGTGCACATACTCTGTTGTACCCAGTCCCAAAGTGTCAGACACCGTCGTCGAGGTAATTAAAGCTTCCTCTAGGTCTTCCTGCTCTAACTTTTACTCATTTGTAGCCTTACAACGCCACTCTCTCCGTCCATCAACTTGTCGAGAACTCCGACGAAACCTTCTGCATTGATAACGAAGCCCTCTACGATATCTGCTTCAGGACCCTCAAGTTGTCGACACCAACATATGGTGACCTCAACCACTTGGTCTCGATCGTCATGTCTGGTATCACAACTTGCCTGCGGTTCCCTGGTCAACTCAACTCAGATTTGAGGAAGCTTGCTGTTAACATGGGTACGTTGATTGACGCCAACCTCCTATGTACATTTACTGATTATTCTTGCAGTTCCTTTCCCTCGTCTTCACTTCTTCATGACTGGTTTCGCTCCCTTGACAGCCCGTGGCAGCCAACAATACCGTGCCGTGACAGTGCCCGAGCTAACCCAACAAATGTTCGATGCCAAGAACATGATGGCTGCCTCAGACCCCAGGCACGGACGATACCTCACTGTTCGTCTGCCTTTGGGTATCTCCAAGATCTTTACTCACTGCGTTAACTTCAGGTCGCTGCCGTCTTCCGTGGTAAGGTCTCCATGAAGGAGGTTGAGGAGCAAATGCAAAACGTTCAGAACAAGAACTCTGCCTACTTCGTCGAATGGATCCCCAACAACGTGCTCACCGCTCAGTGCGACATTCCTCCTCGTGGGCTCAAGATGGCCGTCACTTTCCTCGGTAACTCCACCGCCATTCAGGAGTTGTTCAAGCGTGTCAGTGACCAGTTCACTGCCATGTTCAAGAGGAAGGCTTTCTTGCATTGGTATACACAGGAGGGTATGGACGAGATGGAGGTAAGCATGCTTGTGATCTCCGCTGTTGTCCTTCTGACTTAAACTCCCCTAGTTCACTGAGGCCGAGTCCAACATGCAGGATTTGGTTGCCGAGTACCAACAATACCAGGATGCCACGTGAGTCTCTATGTAATTGCCAGAAACGTCAGCTCATCATTTTACTTCACTAGCGTTGAGGAGGAAGGCGAGTACGAGGAGGAGCTCCCCGCCGAGGAAGACCAGTAAACTTCTAGTCCTTCGTCCTCCTAGCCGCCCCTTACGAAAATTACGTACCTCGTATAACCCCCCCACCTTACTCTTTCTCGGCCCCCAGTCTACGACCACCTTACAATACCAGCACGTTTTGATGAATTTTCCTGTTTTCCTACTCTCTTAGTTATCTGTGGATTAAATTTGATGATTCGCTCATGGCTCGCGCACCCGCGAGTAATATCCTTGTGCTGTCGGTCCATCTTATTTGCACAACTAGTGAACTTCTGAGCTTTTCTAAGCGCTCAATGAATGGCGGTTACCCACGACGGAAAGATAGATGGAGCCGTCCTTGGCTTCAGTAATTTAGAGGCCCACATCAAGCTCAAGGAGGTAAATAGGTAGGTAGGCTGTCTATACATAGGTGTGTGGGCCAATGTCAAGTGTACAGATTGCAAGTATCAAAACCAAAAGGTGCGAACACATGATACCAGAAAGCCAAATCCAATCCTTCCATCATGGCGTCATAACGCAGCGACGTCATCTCCCTTCGAGGATGGATAAAGGGGGGCCATAAGAGCGCCCTAGCCAATCTCCCATAGTTCCCCTTCCCGTCTAGGACCCTGTAGAAACAAGTAATGGGGTGAGTGGCGCTCTCGAACCCAAGGAATGGAAAGACTTACCGTATTGATATAGGTGTATAGTTTCATGTATCCAAGGTACGTTATCCGGTGGCTCCCTTGGGTTCTGCTGTCCTGATGTATTCATAGGGATATTTCAATGTATCGGAGACGCCGTCATGTGCATCGTGGCGAGTATCGCTGGGTGCCTGGAGTGTGTTATCGGGTGTGAGTAGAATTCAAGAGCAAACGGCGTGGCAACTTACTGAGTAACGAAATGTGTCCAGGGATATTCAATTTCGTTGCGACGATCTTTGATTGTCTGACGTGCGGATGTTGTCGGTGAGTCTCTATGCTTTATGTGCACGGATCATGTTGTGATATTATGTTCAGACGTTGAATGGGGCTCCAGGACGTATGAATGTCCTGGGGCCGAAACCCATGTTGTTGAACGAGTGGACGGTTGTCGATTATCTATATAAGATTTCAGTGTCATGTCCGGAATCATGAGATACCCTGTACATATTTGATTGCGGAAGGACTCAAATGTGTGCTAGCTTATTGTCTATTGAGTTCCGAGTCTGTAACGGTTGTTCCATAAACGAAGGCTTCATGATCATCAGACAACATCAACTGCGATGCAAAATCCACCAGACCTTGAGCATCAGGATCTTAATGCTTGTGCTGACCTTCCGTTTCTTCTGAAAGCAGTTAATCTGCACGTACTTGGTGCAAGTTGAAGAGTTTGACGAACAGTGAACTTGAATGTTTGGGAAGGGGTTGACGCGGACACGTGATATGTTAATTCTTGCTGAACGCCATCAACCACGACAATCCCAGATCTGCGACCATAGCGCAGTGTACGACAGACGATCTCCTAATTCTGTGTTTAATTTCAATGCTAATGAGCTACCTACAGTTTCTACTGCGTTTTGGTCATGCCACAATCACTAGAACCTTTGGCTTTTGACACACGACCACTGGCCACATGGCTTAACATAGTAGCGCGGCGATATCGATGCTTCTGACGGCAACACCAACAAACTGCCAAGGACTTTGGGTTTCGCTGAGTATGGAAACAGTGCCAGCAGAGGAATGTGTTGCTCACGACTACGCCGTGCTCCTATTGCGTGCACTTGGCTATGAACTCAGAGGAGGGACTTTGATTCGGGAAAGACTTGATCCTTCTTCCGTATGGCGAGAACAGCTGTGTAACATTCGAAAGCATTGTCTAGGAAGACAGGCAATACATGGCTTCAGGAAATCCCGAAGCCCAACTCATCGGCTGCCTTCTCCGCAAACAATCGCCCGCGTGCTGGTCTTGGGTCTTCCTTCCCAGTCTTCGGGAGTCATCGTGCCTGTCTTTCACAATATCAATGCCTCCGTGGAACTCGTGACAGCTGAGGCAGTGGTGCGGATCTCGAGATGGAGCTGCCTTTCCGTTATTCCAGGACCTCAACACCGCTGAATGAAGGTCTGAAGCGCTGAACAATATCGGAATTGTTCTGTGATGCTATAAGACGTTCAATCGATTTATGAACTACCACTTGGTAAATTCAATATCATGGACGAAGAATTTTGCAACAGTTTTTTTTTTGAGCAGATACCATGGCGTTCGAAACTTTTGGGAATTGTGATGATAGACGCTCTCGGTTCCTCCCGACCTTTCGAACAACCTTCACATATATTAAGGGGTCTGGACTGTCAGGCGTTCGCTCGGTTGTACCCTCGAATGATACTTGGTTGTACCCTCGAATGGTGCCCATTGCCCAAACTCAAGACCCGAAACCAGCCCGAAACACCAAACACAAAGCCGACATTTTTAGCCGGTATGCACTGTATTCGCACATCTGCGGCTTCTCGTGGCAGGGATGACATCCAGGTGACATACCTGCCTGCAGAATTCTCTTCTTCGGTGTTTTCTTATTGCCTCCCACAGCTCAGGCAGTTCAAGACATAAAATTCTGATTCTTCTTTCTGAATACTCGGGATAATGAGGAGTTTTCTAGGAGTCAGCATTCGTATGTGTACATGAGGATGTACCATCTACAAGTTGGGTAACAATCCTTCCATGCACATGATTTCATTTCCATGATCAGTATTTCCTGCGATCGACAGAATCGTCGTACCTTGATGACTTACGTTGTTCATAGAAGAACCTAGAACCTAGAAGGACTAGCCAAGAGCTAGCGTCGTTATGCGACTTATGTCTGCCAAACTTCTGGTGTCCGCCACGCGTGCCTGTACCTGAACGTTTCAACGCTCGTACTGAGCTGGTGTTGCTTCAATCGCCGAAAGTTTCTAAGCCTGTCTATGGATTCTTCTGCAAACGACGAATCTAAAAGTATGGTTCCGGCGTATGTTGCTGGAAGTTAGATGAGGATGGCAATGCTAAGAATAGTAAATGATCGATTGATGCCACACAAGTACAAAGAGAGAATTTTGGATATCTAATCTTGGAATATTTTTGTGCTTCTTCTCTTCCTCCCAATCGAATTCACAGTCAATTCGGGGTAGGAGGAAGACAACTTTCTTTACCTTTTGAAAACATAATGCCTTCTTCCAATCTCCTGGACACGCCTGTTCGCCCAGTCCTGTCTCGTATGCCCAGTGCATACGCGAACATGCCTGCATCGCCAGTCACCGCACCACCTATGGGTGACCACGAAAAGACTCACTTAGACGGCATTCTCGAACTAATCGACGGAACTGCCTACCGAGGCTTTAGCTTTGGTGCCGAGGGGAAGAGCATCGCGGGCGAGTGTGTCTTCCAGACTGGTAAGTCGAACACATCGAATTTATACGTCTGCGGCCGCTGATATAGTTTGGCAGGTATGGTCGGGTACACGGAGTCGCTGACTGACCCCTCTTATGAGGGTCAGATTCTCGTTCTGACCTACCCTCTCCAGGGGAATTATGGAGTACCCTCTCGCAAATCACCTCTAAATGAACTTCCAAAAGAATTCGAATCTTCTCGTATCCATATTGCTGCGCTAATTGTCGGCTCTTACTCAGAAGATTTCAGCCACTTCCTTGCGGAATCCTCACTTGGAGCATGGTTGAAGGAGGGCGGCGTACCTGCCCTTTTCGGCGTCGATACCCGTGCTCTCACCAAAAGGATCAGGGAGAAAGGGTCTCTGCTGGGAAAAGTCCTAGCTCGCGCTGAAGGAACGCGACTTAATCGTCCCCGCCCTTTCGACCTATTAAAACAAGCCCTTCCCTCGGTCCCATCCACTCCCTATCCTTGGCGAGAAGAATATTTGGACATTCCCTACAGCAACCCTAACGAACAAAATCTGGTCGCAGCAGTCTCCATTGCTGCCCCTAAGCTTTATAAAGCTACGACAAAAGCCCGACTTCATCCTTCCGGTCGTCCACTACGCGTAATTGCGATCGACGTTGGGATGAAACACAACCAAATTCGCTGCTTCGTTAAACGAGGTGTTGAACTCAAGGTTGTGCCATGGGACTATGATTTTCTCTCAGACTCTGAACCGTACGACGGAATCTTCATTTCCAACGGACCTGGCGACCCCGCCATGGTCAAAACCACCATCACACGACTTGCAAAGGCCATGGAAGAAGGAGTTCTCCCCATCTTTGGCATCTGTTTAGGCCACCAGCTCATGGCGTTAGCTGCTGGCGCTACGACTTCAAAAATGAAATACGGCAATCGCGGCCACAACATCCCATGTACCGACGCTCTTTCTGGCAGGTGCTATATTACCAGCCAAAACCACGGTTTCCAGGTTGACACCGACACTCTTCCCTCCGGCTGGAAGCCACTCTTTACGAACGCCAACGACCAGAGCAATGAGGGTATATATTGCGAAACCAAGCCCTTCTTCTCTGTTCAATTCCATCCTGAGTCAAATGCCGGTCCTCGCGATACTGAATTCCTTTTCGACGTTTTCATTCAGAATGTTGAGGACTGTGCTGCCACAGGATCTACGGCGCCCCTCCAAATGCCTGGGGGCAACAAGGAAGATAATGCGAGACGTGTTCCTCGCGCCAAAGTCAGCAAGGTCATCATCCTTGGCTCAGGCGGCTTGTCCATCGGTCAAGCAGGTGAATTCGACTACTCCGGTTCGCAAGCCATAAAGGCGCTCAAGGAGGAGGGAATTTACACTATCATGGTCAACCCTAACATCGCCACCATCGCGACATCGAAAGGCTTGGCGGACAAAGTCTACTTCTTGCCCGTCACTCCGGAGTTTGTTCGAAAAATCATCAAATTCGAGAAACCTGATGGAATCTACGTAACATTCGGTGGCCAGACAGCTCTGAACGTCGGTATTAAGTTGAAGGACGAGTTTGCTGAGCTCGGTGTTCAGGTTTTGGGCACTCCCATAGAGACAATTATCACCACGGAGGACAGGCAGCTGTTTGCTTCCGCCATGGAGGAGATTGGCGAGAAGTGCGCCGAGAGCTGTACAGCGACTAACTCGGATGACGCGGTTGCTGCTGCGAAAGCCATTGGTTTCCCCGTCATCGTTCGTGCTGCGTACGCACTTGGTGGTCTTGGTTCTGGATTTGCTCAGGACGAGGATCAGCTGCGCGCTCTTTGTACCAAAGCATTCGCAACTAGTCCTCAAGTACTGGTCGAGAAGAGCATGAAGGGCTGGAAGGAGATTGAGTACGAGGTTGTCCGTGATTGCAGAGATAACTGTATCACCGTTTGCAACATGGAGGTCGGCCCCTCTACTTTTCATTTGGATCGTAATCTTACAAGTTTCCTCTTAATCCACAGAACTTCGATCCACTTGGAATCCACACTGGCGATTCCATCGTTGTGGCTCCATCTCAAACACTTTCAGATTCGGACTATAACATGTTGCGAACGACGGCAATCAACGTCATCCGCCATTTGGGTGTGGTTGGTGAATGTAATATCCAGTACGCTCTCAATCCCACTTCTCAAGAATACTGCATTATCGAGGTGAGTATCACATCAAAAACGGCAGTCTTGTCGTCGTCTAAACCCGATGAATTCTCTAGGTTAACGCTCGACTTTCCCGTTCGTCCGCCCTGGCCTCCAAAGCTACTGGATACCCCCTCGCTTTCATTGCTGCTAAGCTTGGCCTTGGGATCCCACTCAACGAGATCAAAAACTCCGTCACCAAAGTCACCAGTGCCTGCTTCGAGCCAAGTTTGGACTACGTAGTCGTCAAGATTCCTCGCTGGGATCTGAAAAAGTTCAATCGCGTCAGTCGTCTTCTGAGCAGCAGCATGAAGAGTGTGGGCGAGGTTATGAGCATCGGCCGCACATTTGAAGAAACGTTCCAAAAAGCGATTCGTGCGATAGATGATCAGTTTTCTGGGTTTGCTAAAGTGAGCTTCCGGTCTGTACATCATATCCTTCTGATTCTTACTTTGGTTTGGTTAGAATGATTTCGTGGAGGATATTGATGAAGAGCTCGTCAACCCTACGGATAAACGGGTCTTTGCTATATCAACGGCCTTCCATCGTGGCTATAGCATCGACAAAATATGGCAGATGACGAACATCGATAAATGGTTCTTGAACAAGCTCCAAAACATCTTTAATCTGGAACAATGTCTTTCGTGAGTCAACTGTGGTCCTTGGTCTCCTTCTGTCTGATAAGTTTGACCCATAGAACTTGCAACGCCTCGAATCTAACATCAGACCTCCTTCGACAATCGAAGCAATATGGCTTCTCGGATCGTCAAATTGCTACCTGCATCAGCTCGACTGAGCTTGCCGTTCGAAGACTCCGTCAAGAAGCGGGAATCGCTCCATTCGTCAAACAAATTGATACTGTGGCTGCGGAATTCCCGGCCTTTACCAACTACTTATACACCACCTACAACGCCGTTGAGCATGACGTTGAGTTCAACGAGAGGGGTGTCATGGTTTTAGGCTCAGGCGTCTATCGCATTGGCTCTTCTGTTGAATTTGATTGGTGCGCGGTCCGTGCCATCCGCACCCTTCGTGATCAAGGCCTTCAGACTGTCATGGTCAACTACAACCCCGAAACCGTCAGCACTGATTATGACGAGGCCGATAGGTTGTACTTCGAGAACATTAGCTTGGAGACCATCCTCGACATTTACGACACAGAGCAATCACGCGGTGTCATCCTGTCTATGGGTGGTCAAACTCCAAACAACATTGCCCTGCCTTTACATCGCCAGAACGTGAAGATTTACGGGACCTCACCCGAGATGATCGATACTGCCGAAAATCGATTCAAGTTCTCTCGCCTCCTCGATGAAATCGGTGTTGACCAGCCTTTGTGGAAGGAGCTCACCAGTTTCGAGGATGCCTCTAGTTTCTGCCAGGCCGTTGGTTATCCTGTCCTTGTCCGGCCCTCGTACGTTCTCTCCGGCGCTGCCATGAACGTCGTGTCTACAAGTGATGATTTGGCGAACTACTTGACCCAAGCTGCTGAGGTATCGCGAGATCATCCTGTCGTCATCTCCAAGTACATCGAACAGGCCAAAGAGATTGAGATGGACGCCGTGGCGAAGGATGGAAAGATGGTTATGCACTATATCTCAGAGCATGTGGAAAATGCAGGTGTTCATTCGGGTGATGCCACGCTCATCCACCCTCCTCAGGACTTGGATCCCCAGACTGTCCGCCAGATCGAGGAGGCGACAGCGAAGATCGGAAACGCTCTGAACGTGACTGGGCCTTTCAATATCCAGTTCATTGCCAAGAACAACGAGATCAAGGTCATCGAGTGTAATCTGCGGGCCGCACGGTCGTTCCCCTTCGTGTCAAAAGTCACTGGCGTCGATGCAATTGAGATGGCCACCAAAGTCATGCTCGGCATCCCAGTAGAGCCTTATCCTGATCTCAATCTCCCGCCCGACTATGTTGGTGTCAAAGTACCCCAATTTAGTTTCAGTCGGCTGTCCGGGGCCGACCCTATCCTAGGCGTAGAGATGGCTTCTACTGGAGAGGTGGCTTGTTTCGGCCATGACAAGTACGAGGCGTATCTGAAGGCGCTGATATCAACTGGTATCGTTCCACCCAAGAAGAACATACTTCTCTCCATCGGTAGTTATCGTGAAAAGCTCGAAATCCTTCCCTCGGTTCAGAAGCTGAGCGCTGCGGGATACAACATATTTGCCACATCCGGAACTGCAGATTTTCTCACTGAACATAATGTTGCTTGCAAGGTAAGCGACATACGTGCTAATTAAACTCCTCAAAGCTGATGGAAAGTTCTAGTATCTTGAGACCCTTGGAGAGGACAGTCGTGACGAGCAAAAGTCGGAATATTCCCTCACACAGCACTTAGCGAACAATCTCATTGACTTGTACATCAATTTGCCCTCGAAAAACCATTATCGTCGCCCAGCCAGCTATACCAGTAAAGGGTATCACACCCGCAGAATGGCTGTTGACTTCGCCATCCCTCTTATCACCAATGTCAAAAATGCGAAGATGCTCGCAGAAGCCCTGGTACGCAACATGTCCCTCGACGTTTCGAACGTCGACGCCAAGACTTCTCATCGTACGCATACATTCCCCGGACTCTTCAACGTGGCTGCCTTTGTGCCCGGTCTTATTACTCCGAATAGCAAGGATTTGGCAGCGGCAACGGAAGCTGCCGTCAGCGCTGGTTTTACCACCTCTATCGTCCTTCCTACTGCCATCAGCAACTCCATCTCTGATCGCCCATCTCTTGAGCAAGCTCGATCCAACGCTCTTGCTGCAACCCATTGTAACATTGCACTTGGAATCACTGCAACATCGAGCAACGTTGACTCTTTAGACAAAGAGCTTCAAGCGGAGGTTAAGCTCTTGTTCATCCCTTCCTCGACACCACTCTCTTCTGTCGCTGCTCATTTTTCCTCGTGGCCCGCGGAAAAGCCAATCGTCACCGATGCCAAAGGGTCTGAGCTCGCATCTGTTCTTCTCTTGGCCAGTCTTCACAACCGCACCGTTCATGTCACAGACGTACGGTCCAAGGATGATTTGATTCTGATCTCCTTGAGCAAAGGAAGACAACTGAAGGTCACCTGCGATGTGTCGATTCAGTCTCTTTTCTTTACATCAGAACAGTACCCAGGGACGACTTCTCTTCCCTCAGCTGCTGACCAGAAAGCATTATGGCAAAATCTTGACACGATTGACGTGTTCTCCGTCGGTTCAACACCTTACTGTCTTGCTGTAGAATCCGGAAAGCTTGCCTCGTCCGAGTCTGGTGTAGAAGAAGCACTGCCTCTGCTCTTGACAGCTTTCACAGAGGGACGACTTACCCTCGATGATATCCGCATTCGTTTGCATGATAACCCCGTTCAAATTTTCGCCATTCCGGATCAGACCCAAACCCACGTCGAAGTCATTATCGGACGCAAGACTCCGTTTTCGAAACGGTCACAGTGCTGGTCACCTCTGGAACAAACATCGGTTTCCGGATCTATTCACCGTGTCGTCTTCCATGGACAGACGGTCTTTTTGGATGGGTCTTTGTTCCCTGCTGCTCTTGGACGAGATGTCTCAGCAACTGCCGTTGCACATCCCACTGTCATCCCAGCTCCTTCGGTTTTAAAAGAGGATATATCATCACATGCAAACGCCATTTCATTAACAACCACCAGCTCAACTCATCCCCCTGCCGGACATCATCAAGTCGGCCCAAGCACTCAGATCCTTTCCCACCTCCAACCACACCCCTCTTACCATCGAAGGCACATCCTGTCTGTCAAGCAGTTCACTCAAAGAGATCTATACGATCTCTTTGCGCTTGCAACGGAAATAAGACTCCAGGTCGAACGCACCGGCACGCTTGACATTCTCAAAGGCAAGGTGCTCGCCAGCATCTTCTATGAACCTTCTACTCGCACTAGCTCTTCTTTGGACGCTGCTATGAAACGATGTGGGGGACAAGTGGTGCAGGTCGCAGCGGATAATTCGTCGGTTCTCAAGGGAGAATCGTTGCCTGACACTATTCGGACGCTAGCCTGTTACGGAGATGCAATTGTCATCCGTCATCCTGATGTAGGAAGCGCGCAGCTGGCAGCCAAATACTCTCCTGTCCCCATCATCAATGCTGGTGATGGCATCGGAGAACACCCAACACAGGTAGGACTTTTGGTTGATCTTCCCTTCACTTACTCACTTTGGATTTCATAGGCACTGTTGGATATTTACACAATCCGTTCGGAACTGGGTACTGTCAACGGGCGTACCATTACACTCCTTGGTGACCTCAAAAACGGACGAACGGTCCACAGTTTGGTGACATTGCTGTGCCTCTACTCCGTTCAATTGAACTTTGTTTCTCCTCGTTCCCTCGCCATGCCTTCCAGCGTCATATCTGCCGCCAGGAAGGCGGGAATTCCTGTCACGATCTGTGAGTCGCTCGACGAGGTGCTGGACGACACGGATGTTCTGTATATTACGCGGGTGCAGAAGGAGCGATTTGACGACGAGAAGGAGTGGTTGCAGGTCAAGGACGCATATCGAGTGGACCACGCTGTTCTTTCCAGGGCAAAGGAAGATATGATTGTCATGCATCCCTTGCCGAGAGTTAATGGTTCGTTTCAAGAGTCGTTTCATTTGCATGTTTTAGATTGACTTTTTTTATCTCAGAAATTGACCCAGAAGTCGACTTCGATTCCAGGCGGGCGGTGTACTTCAGGCAAATGCGTTATGGTCTTTTCGTGAGTCAACCCGACATCTATGGTCGTTTTTTCCATGCTGATAGTTAACACTCTTTAGGTTCGCATGGCGCTGCTCGCTAGTGTCATGGCGTAGACATGGTTCCCAACACATAGTCGGACGATTTCATTACTCACAAACTTCTACAAAACAGTTGGACTATAGGGATATCCACTCTACACGCTGCACATAGGTTACTTAATACCAACGTTGATGAGTACGGCTAGGCTCTATACATCGTCATCTAAACGGGGTTAGCGTTACGGCTTCAGGGCCTCTAACACTGTGGGTATGACATCTAAGTGAACATCTTTCCCCCAGAGAATGTCGAGGTGCTCGTAGCCCTCAAGTTTATGAACGGAAACGTTGTCGGGTAATTGTTCCATTAGTGTGGAGATATCTATTAGGGTATCCTGGTCTCCATAAATAAGCACCATGGAAGTCTTGATCTGGTCGGTAGGAAACCTCTGAAACCTCTCAAGACTCGCATGTGCAACGGGCGAGCTCGCCCTCCTGTCCTCCTCGTACATGTGGAAAGCGGAGTTCCGCATAATTTGAGACCAGTGAACGACTGCCTTGACTGACGAATAACAGTAGATGTGTGCGTATCCCGCCACCTTTTGGACTTTTGTGATATTGCGGCTATGGTAGTTGAAGAGGAAGATAAGGGAGATATCGATGACCTTTCCGAGGATGGCGGTGGGTAATACGGATTGCCAGTAAACAACAGAGGATAGCATGGATTTCCTGCCGAATACATGGAAGAGAGTGGATGGACTGAACAAAAAGTCATGAGCGAAAAAGAAGAGACATTAGCAGGGGAACATACAAATGTTTTATAACGTAATCCAAGATGGGTGTAGCATAACCTGGTGGCCTCATTATCGGAGCAAGCGCAACAAAAACGCCAATTTTGTCATTGAGTTCGGGATGCAGGCTTAGTGCTGCGAACGCCTGTGCAGTGCCTTGACTAAATCCAATGTAGCTAAGCTTCTCGGCTTTTGTATGATCCAGTATAAAGTCGATGGAATTGGGGATATCATAACGCGCGAAGTCGTCGATTGAGAAGTCCTAAAGCCAGGAATCAGTTAGATGCGGACAAGAGACTCTAATTTTACTTACCCAAAAATTTGACGACTTGGCTTTCTTGCCAATATGGTTTTGAGAGTACTTGTTCCCTCTGAAAGTGTTGTAAGTACTAGAATCAAAGGCGTCTCGGGGTCATTGCTCACCTATTGTTTCCCAGCCAGACATCGTACCCATGTTCAGTGAGCACGAAGGGTAGGCAGCGATTGGCGTCCGTCACGCAGACAAACAGCTCGCTGCTAGTTAACAGTCCGTGTTGAAGATAGATAGTGGGGCGGGTTGCATCCTTAGCAGATCCCTCAACAGACTTAGGCAGTATCCGGTGCAAAGTCAGCATGTATCCATCCTCGGTGGTGACGACGTGTTCCTCGTGCACGTAGCCAAAGATCCAGCATAACTCTGCGAAATCTTTTGCTTCACGAATCCTCTTTGCAACTGACATATCTTCGGTTGTCGTTTGCATGCCAAAGGTGATGCCAAAGTGGTCGATGAGGATTCGCGTTAGGATGTAGAGGGGAAGGACACGTATTATTAGGAATGTGAATACATCATGGAACGTCCGTGTTGCGGTTACCGTATCCATCATTGTACAACATAGAGGAAGGGGATGTCCTGGGGATGTCGGGCGCCCAAGAGACGCACAGCTAGTGTGACCGAAGTGACTAGCGCCTGTCACACACTCAGGAAAGCTGAACCAATGCTGAACGCCTCTGCAAGAGGGTCGTAGGCCGCGGCTCATATGCGGTGTCTGGAGGTGGCTTATGTCCATATATAGGACATAATTATGTACAAATGCGGAAGTCACATGTAACGTCACACGTAAGCGCGTTGATTGTTGGAGAGCAACTGTTACTCTCCAACGCTCTCTCAAAACGCGGGCAGTATCCAGATACCGCCCGCGTTTTGTCTGCTTTTCATATTTCCTGCACATTGCTCTTCGTGTTTGCTCAACTTCCGACTCACTGGACCCAAGACAATCTATCCGCCAACTTTTCGATGCATCAACATGCATCATAGCCATTGGGTTGTAGTAGCACGAGCGGAGGAGGTTGCGTGTCGGTAATACCGATTTACGGGGTCGTTCAGGTGCGTAGTCTACCTGAAGAAAGCAGACTTTTCTGCTTTCCTCGTTTCAATTTCTTCCAACTAACATTTTTGTTTTTAATGTTCAGAATTTGATGATGGACCTTCCCTGGCCCATTCGGCAAAACCAACTACGACGCCGCACACCCATCCCCGTTGGCCAATGAACCTGTACCCGCCTCTCGACGTGCACCCATCATCCGGCGTGCCCATGCCCATCATCGATGTGCCCACACCCATGATCCCACATAAAATTCAACTGCCCCACTCAGCTCGGTCCCCATCGCAAATGGCACGACCACCACCGTCATCGCCCTTGATCACATTCCTATGCCCTCCGCTCTACCTGTCCCTGTCGGATGACGTGCCCATACCCATCATCCGACATGCCACACCCATCACATTCACAACCCCATTCCGCTACATCCCCATCGCAAACAGTGCAACCCATCAACAAGAACACGACCGCCGCACCCGCGCCCACTGCTCAACATGCCCCTGTCCTTCAACCACCCGCCATTCAAGGTACGCCCGCCGCTCGACATGCGTCCGTCATCTGATGTACCAAACTCAACCGCCCCATTCTGCTCCATCCCCATCACAGTATCACCACTTTCATCGCCCTCTCGTCACATTACCATTGCCAACAATGTGACTGCTACTCCTATCCCCGCCGCTCGACGTGCGCCCAACTATACCACCCATTGTATTTCAGCCACCCTTGTAGCTACTCGCCTATTTCAACAGTTATTTAATAGATATAATTCTTCATTATTCAATATGATCCAGCCTCATGCTTATTTTAGGATGGTAGACTTTATCATATTGCACAGAATATTTGTACGGCAATTAATTTGAAGATGCAGCACCACGACGAGCTATATTGAGTATGATATTCCCAACTGTAAATAGCTGCTTAGTGAAGTGGTTATGTTGTGCAGTACATAGCATAACCTCGGCCCTGTGCCCGAGGACATGGGTTCAAACCCTCAACTTGAAAAAAAGTTTTGTTTTTTCAAGATGACCTCCAGACATAAGACATGAGCCTAGGCTGCTGCCAAACTCGCACCCAAATTCGGCCTCGCCGAATTTGTCATCGTTCGCTCACTCATCACATTCACTGTATGCTCACTCATCACATTCATTGTCGTTTCAGATGACTCTCCTCTGCACCGCTCTGACTTAGCGCTATGTATTAGCGATGCTGAGTCAAGCGTTATGGTCCGTAGGGGGGGCATAAAAACCCTGGGGATGCCATCCAGACTGATCAAGCAGCACGTGAGGCAACCCAGGTAAGCACGACGTCGTGCTCTTCATCCAGAACTCAAGCTCACCTCTCTTTGGATCGTAGTCTTCAGGCATCGCCTACCCCTCTGCTTATCAGAAAGACTACGATTTCAGCATGGTGAGCCTTGGCGTTCTCGGCATCGCCGACCCCTCTCCTTCTCAAGAAAGAATATTAACGACATTCTTTGTTAAGACCTAGCCCTTTCTCACACCATTTTTTCACGACCCTCCCTCCTCTCCCTACGTTTAATTGTCTCTTTTTATTATATACACGACGACTGCTTTCTCTATCTACGTAAATAACATTGTATTTGTATCCTTTAGCGATGGCAACCGTAAAAGCAGCAAGACAGAAGAGTGGCGAATAGCAGGTCGTCGTAGGAATTTGAAAGGTGTGCGACGTGAACAAAGGTTTCGAGATGGGTGGTGCGCAGAGGTTGTTTGCGCTGAATGGGGTCAGCACGCACCTTTTTCGACCCACGTATGGTTGTTTGGACTAAGGGGTGGGAACGATTGGTGTCAAAGTCTGGGTAGAGGTCTTGCAAAAAGTGGCGAGCGCCAGTAAGATACTTTGGAGCGGATGCGATAAATTTTGAGGTGTAAGCAACATAACGAGAGAGGTTTTGAGGAGTTGGGGTCAAGGGTAGAGAAAAGTTTAAGCAGACGTTGATGTAGTCTCGTGCGCCGGTTGCGTATCCCTTCGCAGTACTGATTTCGATAGCATTGGTTTGTAGGTGTCGTGCACGATCATCCAAAGCATCCAACGTCATTGGTGGGCGAGCATTCCTCGAGTGGGATGAATGCCCGCCCAATGCGCTCAAAAGCACAGCCTCCATCGCGCCGGCAAGAGATCGCGTGGAGGATCAAATAAGCGGACGCGTGTATCAGGGAATTGACGAGCGAAGTCGTCAAGGAGAAGACGTGAAAGAAGGTCAGCTTGAATATTAAGTGTGCCTTCAATGTGTCTTACATGTAAATCAATACGAGACCTGAGAATAACCTCAGCGATTCCGAGGAGGACGCCGTTGTGCATAGCTTGCGAAGCTGAAAGGCTGTTGAGGACGCCTACGGAGTCGAGGCTGTCAGTGAACAGCAAAAGACGGCGAGGTGGAGTTGGGAGATTGGTGGCAACATGGTGAATTGCGGAGAAAATGGCAACAAGCTCAAGAAAGAAAATGTCGATTTTGATGTTAGCAGGAGGTGGTTGTAATTGATAGACGAAGCCTTCAAATCCATAAACGAAAGCGAGGGCAGTTGTAAGTAGTGTTTAAAGGTTCAGTCCATAGGACCGCAAAAAACCGGTGGACTGAACTGAACCGGACCATGGTCCGGTCTTTTTTTCGGTTGCAGTTGCCCCAATTTGGGGTTGGTCCGGTTGCCGGTTGCCTCATTTCGAAAATATATTAAAACCGTTCAAAGACCGGTTTTGATCGGTTGCAACCGGTTAAACGGTCACGTGCGTTACATACCCTTGTAACCACGTTTATTACCTTTTATTGGGTTTTTGTTTCATCAAAAACGGTTAAGAATTGAGAAAGATATAACCAAATCCATATTTTACCCAAGTCTCTATGAGATGTAATTTGGTTTCAGTCATAGCTATGTCAAATCTTCATTAAATCTCTTCAAAATTGGTAGAATGACGGGTATTTACATGCTTTACTATTTCATATAACCCGTTTATTTTTTAGAGTAATAATAGTCAAGATACAAATGGTTTATATTGGTATAATAAATTATACGCAAAAAAACCGGTCTGGATCGGTCTGAACCGGCTCCATAGACCGAAATAGACCGGTCCTAGGTGGTTCGGTTCGGTTCCCTCAATATCTGGGTCGGTCCTAGACCGGTTGCGGTCCACGGTTGCGCGTTTTGGGGTCAAAAAACCGGACTGAACTGAACTTGCGAACACTAGTTGTAAGGCTAGCATCTGTCCAAATTATAAGATCAGCGGCCGAGTCTGCCCAAGCGCCGTCGTCAATAAATCATATGCCGATTGCTTTGGGAATTGTTTCGGCAAGCCATGTGAGTTCAGCTCGAATAGTGGCGTTAATGAAAAGTTTTGGATTTCGAGCTTTACCACTTGTTTTTCTGTATAACTCACTTAGAGCCGGACGGCCCCAGGGAAGAACATTGAGTAGCCAATTCAAATGCCCCCCAAGTCGTTGCCAATCACGAAGTCGCAGTTGTCGATCAGTGGTAGCGAGGAATAAGTGGATCTTAGAAATAATGTCAGTGATCGTGTCTGGTGTAAGGGTGATAGTGCCGCGATTGATGTCAATGTAAAATCCGATGATTTTTAAAACTTCGCCGTGATCTTGCTTTTTATCCTCAAAAGGGCAGGATATGCTTTCCCATAGAAGCAGAAGTTGAACCTGTCGACGTGGGCGAAGGCGGCCATGGAAATATATGAGGTCATCAGCTAAACTCCAACCAAAGAAATCATCCATGTAGACATGCAATCCCAGAATATTGAATTTCCGAATGGCAATCCAACAAATGAGACCAGAGACAGCACACCAGCATCAAGGAGAAGCTCGATTACCAAACACTAGACGACGAACAATGTAAAGTTTGTCGTCAACCTTCACAACCTGACAGAGCTGCCAGAGAGGGTGAGCGGGAAGATTGAGAAAAGCAGACGCGACGTCTGATTTGAATGTTATTAGAGTTTGTTGAAGGTGAGCAGCTCGGGCTTCGCGTAGAACCTGACCAAAAGAATGCATGTCGTCGTATGAAACATGGCCCTCAGATCTTGGAATCCTGTTGTTTAAACCTGAGCTGCTATGGTCGGTGACTACTCGTGGTTTGTCATGCTACCAGACAACAAACATAGGGGAGAATTTCATTCCCAGGAGAAGGGCTGAGATTGATAAAGGGGATGACCATCTGTCTGCTTGAAGTTCTTTGTCGCGAAAAGAACGGATTGCAGCGAGGTCTTCGGGAAGAGAAGCAAAGTTATCAGATAGTTCACCTTGTTCGTTCTTCCAGTCCCCTTCATCAAACGGCCAAAAACCTTCACGAAGACCTTGCATAACAGATCACACAAACGGCTGATTGGGATGGTCTTCAAGTAATGCTTCAAATTTATCAATATTAAAAGGAGTAGTAACTTTAATGGAGTCTTTCATAGCGCTAAGAGATGATTGGATGTCAGGGTCGTTGATAAGATGGATGGGTGGTGAATGAAAAGGAGGAGTGGTTTCGGTGTAAAGGGCAGAAGGAGATATAGTGTTAGAATGATTATTGCACCAAACAAGTCGTCGACGAAAACGAGGGGGGTCAATTATGGTGTCAGATTGACGTTTCGTCGAGTTTCGAGGCAAGGCCTTAGGACCTTCCAGAATTGCCTCCTCTGCTTTCCGCGTGGCTTGTGCTAGGTCCTTTTCCATGGCGAGCTTCGAGAGAAGAGAGGCACGTTTCGTGGTCTCGAGCTTTGTGCTTTCCTCCGCATTCGGAACAAATCCCATGTTTGCGCCTGAAAACACAGGGATCGGCGCATATCCCGAGACTCCAATTTTGACAAGGAACTGCAGCACGTTTCAACGGGCCCATAGTATCGGTAGCCTCGCGTTTTCGCAGCATCTGTGATAGAAGTGGGAGTTGGAAGCGACTGCGGTCGTCCATCTGATAAGGACTGCAAGCGTATCGGTCACGGGCCTCAGCGTCGACATTGATAGTGACAAACGGATCATAGGGAGCGGTGCGAAAAAGCTCAATAACCATATCTTGATATGTATTGAGCTCATTGAGGCGATGTGGATACAATAAAACAACGCCTGCTTTCCATGCTTGAAAAACCTGAGCCCATTCCGCCTCATTCCTAACCACTTTCCTAGCCGAATACTGATCCTTCCGTACCAATGAAAAACCCCCTGCAAAATCCTTCGCATCGTCGTTGTGACTAAACCCCTGATCCATCGAAGCGTGCAGCTTTTCGAAATCGACATATTGATCTTGGATGATAGCTCGCCACAAGGGACGAGGGATCGGGTCAACGAGAGGCTGCAGTTGCATGAGGTCGATGATTGGGTCAATAGCTTTGTTGGAGTTGAACGATTGACAAAGCTTCCATGTCGTTTGTAGGTGAGAGTCGAGAAATGTGTGCTCCGAGAGAGCAGAGAGGTGAGGTGCTGCTGATAAAACCGAGGCTGGGATAGTGGCAGAGGAGGAAGGCGAGACATTAAGAAGTTTGATGATGTCGTCCAAAGGATAGGACGTGGGCTGAGTTCCGAGTGCTGAATGAGTCTGGTTGATTTTTGCTCGAAGAAGTGCCCACGCGATGTCTTCGGAAACATCGTTCGGTCCTTGATTAGTAGAGTTTGGACGCTTGAGAAGTTCTTGTCGATGTTCTTTGAATTGGAGGAGTTCTTCGGCAGTAAGTCCCTCAGGGGTGGATGAACATGATGGATGAGCTGAAGGATTCTCAGCATGGGAAGGTTGAGTAGAGGAAGACACATTCAACCAAGCTGGCAATGGTTGTGCAGAACCTCCTCCGTCACCTTGTAACCGCATACGTTCATTGACCTGTTGAACGTAGTCCTCCCCTTCCACCGAAGATATCCTGATCGCCCTAAGATTCTCCATGAAGAGGTCGTAAGGAGACCGTTGGTTGACGACATCATCCACAAGTTTCTGAGCGGCGATGGTCCTTTGGTTAACATCTCCAGAGTTGTTTTCGTGGTTTTCATGGTTCATGGTAGCTAGTATGAGATGTAGATTGCAGCGCGAGATGCCGTAGTCGTGAAAAAATGGTGTGAGAAAGGGCTAGGTCTTAACAAAGAATGTCGTTAATATTCTTTCTTGAGAAGGAGAGGGGTCGGCGATGCCGAGAACGCCAAGGCTCACCGTGCTGAAATCGTAGTCTTTCTGATAAGCAGAGGGGTAGGCGATGCCTGAAGACTACGATCCAAAGAGAGGTGAGCTTGAGTTCTGGATGAAGAGCACGACATCGTGCTTACCTGGGTTGCCTCACGTGCTGCTTGATCAGTCTGGATGGCATCCCCAGGGTTTTTATGCCCCCCCTACGGACCATAACGCTTGACTCAGCATCGCTAATACATAGCGCTAAGTCAGAGCGGTGCGGAGGAGAGTCATCTGAAATGACAATGAATGTGATGAGTGAGCATACAGTGAATGTGATGAGTGAGCGAACGATGACAAATTCGGCGAGGCCGAATTTGGGTGCGAGTTTGCCAGCGGCCTACGAAAACGCTCCTTACCCCTGGAACCCGCGTTTACGACAACCCTCCAACTGACACAAAATTTGTAATTTGAAGCTGAACAAGGTATACAGTCTCTTATTCAAATGAACCTGGACCAATGACAATTTATTCACCAATCCATGCAAAAAATTTCATTCTCAGGCTCTGTCTAGGACTTGAACCCAGTTCTCACGTGAATATGGACACTTTTTGATGTGACTACTATCACGTGGGGGGAGTTGGACCGTCGTATTGGGTTGGACCATTTTACTATTTCATCTCTTCCTTCTTCCACGATCATCCGTTGGCCTCCAAGAATTGGTCATAGATAGATAGATGTCTCTCAAACTGATTCAGGTTCTTTACACAATTATTTCTAACTTGTGGCTTGTTCTCGAGACAAATGTAAAGTGTTTACACCAAGTTGTGACACACCCAAATTTGGTAGATACACGAGCATATGGCCAAAGTTCATTCAAAAAACTATCTCAAGTATATCATATAATCTTTTTCAATGTATTCTAGTAATTGAATCCCGTCCAAGTGCTCTGTGAAGTGCATATTGCAGGGACAGCCAGTTACACCATGGATCCTGGTGACAAGTTGAGACTCCGCTGCACGCCAATTGCGACGCTACAAACCGATGTGACAAACATTCGTCGAAATCAAGCTACAGTAGCACCACATCAATAAAATTCTGTTAACTTCTGCTGAGACTTACATTAAGCAGTAACAACTGCAGCTTTTTCTCCCTACAAGCAAAGAAAATGTGTTGTATTTATTGTGCTACGGAGCCAGACACTGAAAACGGTCCAACTCCCCCCACGTGATAGTACTGGCCAATGCACCAACAGAGAGTTTCCAGCTTGCAATGTCAATGTTTTCAAAGCATGAGCTTAAATTCAATACAAGGAGGGTAATTCATTTTCTGAGTCTGTTTGTTAGACCTTCTTTTTTCAAAAAGCTTGGGGTGGACATAGAACAAGGAGATGCATCAACAAAGAACATGACTATGTAGATAATAATAAACAAATTTAAACATGTAATTGAATCTGAACCCAACATTAAATTTTTGACTTGAAGCTGAACAAGGCATACACATACTGTGCAATTTCCCAATGAATGTATATCAATCACCAACAACTTTCCACCCTGCTATGAATGTGCATGTCACAGGTGGTTGACATCTTACCCTGAAAAGGAAAGTCTCTCACTGTTCAGCATACACCTAATATACCATCCAAAGAGTATTGTGCTGGATGAGAGGTTGTGGAGGAGGCCAGACACCATGTCAACAGAACACTTTTGTTGCTATGTCACACAATCATCCTGATTTTGAACACCCTTCCCATCTGTTGGAGGCCATCACACATCGGAAAAAAAATTGTTGCAAGAGCTTGAAATTACCTTGCCAAATTGAGCCAAAGAGCTGTTTGAAAACACTGGCAGGAGTATTGTTGTAATGATTTTGACCAACTGTTCAGCTAATGCCTTTGAATAAATGTGACTGTTCTTGTGATTAATTGAGCATGACATCATTTAATCTATAGAAAGAATTATCAGTGTAATTTCTATTGAGAAGATTGTAGAAAATTTCCTCAAGTATATAGGTCACTTGAAAAAGAAAATCTTATTGTTTTGGCTTCATAAAAAAAATGCACTTCCTGCTGGGTACATGTCATGTTTACCCCATTTTTGACTTCATTTTGACTTGCAATAAAGGGGGAAGAATCAAAGGTAAAAAATATTCTTCTAAAAAAATCCCTTCTCAAAGGCCCAAAAGTACATCAGGATATGCAATTTGGACATACATAAAATGTAGACATCAGGTAGGATTAATTAAGGATTCCAAGCTATCTAATCTACTCTGAAGGCTCCTCACAGATATAACAAACTTTGTTGGTTCTAGCTTATCCACCCACACAAGTTCTTCATCCTCTGAAAGGGCACCAAGAACCATCTTCATTGTATCCAGTATTTGACTTTCCACAATTTGTTGGTGACAATGGTGTTCATAAATAGTTTCTAGAAGATCAAGCCAATTGAAGCTCTCCCAGATCATAGTTGCTGTGGGGGGTGTAGGACCAGATATGTATCTTTGAAACTGAGTTCTTGGAAGTTCCAAAATTCTTGATTTTATAAGAAGCTCAGAGATAGAATGTTCCTCTCTCTGTTTTGAGGTGGAATGCAAAGATTTTTTCTGGGCTTTTTTCATGATAAGTAGAGCCATAGAAACTGCAGTGGTTTGCAAGTATGTGGAACATATTGGGTTGTTGGAAAATGAAATGATTTTTTCCAGAAAAGTTGTGGAAGTTGATACACCAGGAAAGAGGCAAAGGGCATGAAGCAAGGAAAAAGCATTTTCTCTTGACCTTCCTTGAACATCAGACATCTCAATAAAATTTAGCATTTTCTGAAGTTCAGATTGATCAAAGCCTTCGGAAAGATGCAGCAGCCATGTGGGAAGCAAATGAGCATGAAGCTCAGGAAAATTGGCATATCTGAAGAATCTGTAAGATGTAGAATTGGATGTTCCATTTAGATTCCAAGTGAAAGTACTATTGATATATTCATCAGCTATAGTGCAGATTTTCCAAAAGATGCTGTTTATTGTTTGGGAAGTGTCTTGTGAATTCATTGCTGCTTTCAGGTAGAAGACCAAGGCTTGCACTGCATCACAGTTAGTCTCATCATTCAGCCTAATCTCCAATGATTGAATAACCTCCATAGACTGTCTCAATAGATTTTGATTCTTAGTCACTGCAGCATGGCATGCAACAAAAATCTCATTAAAATGTTGTGCAGCCCAACCTTCTTTTCTTGAGAGAGCAAAGAGGGTAAGCAACCCCTCTTTACCTAGCTCATAGTCTGATCCATCTTTTACCATTGCACTACAGATAAAGCTCCCATAAACAATTTGGGATTGTGCACCGAGTTCCAGCTGAGCCTCATTGTTGCACAGACATTGAATGATTTGCATCATAATAATGCTATATGAAGCTGCTTCCCTGGCTGGAAATGTCACAATGAAAGGAACACAGTGGACAGATAGATGGTAGGCAAATAATGCAGGATTATAGTCATATAGGACATGTGCATTTTCCTGCTGAAAGATCAGATGGTGTAAAGCTTGGCAGAATAACGCAGCAGCTCTAGATGTTAATGGCCCAATTCTTATCAAGCCACAGATAAGGCCACATGTATCAGAAGAGTCAATTTTCTGTGCAGATATAGCTCTCAAGAGAAGTCCAAAAAGCATCTCTCTCTCAGCTTCCATAGTTTTTGGATACTGATTTATACCTTTTGTCACTAGTAACTTTAGTTCTTCTGGGTCTAGATAGAATGACAGATCTTTGCATGTTTCCAAAGCCAGCCCCAGAATTTTGTGAGAGAAATGTATACTAGATTTCAAGCAGGCCATCTCAGAAGACAGTCTAGCACCTGGAAATGTCTGAGATGTGCACAAAGAGTAAATAGCAAAACCATATTGCATCATTTCATCAAGCTGTTTTCCAGAGCCAAGAGATACACAAGGATAGGGTCCTTCACAGTCTCTCTGAAAAGTATGCTCAAAGAGTATGCATAATCTATCTAAAGCTCCATTTTTCAGAAACAGTTTTCTTCTTCTCTCAAAAGTAGAAACTGTGGTGGGGATATTTTTCAGAAGGGTGTTTACCAGTTTCTCTTGGGAAGAAGCCTTTACAAGCCAAGCTAGAGCTTCTACTTCAAGGCTGGAGTAAGAATCATCAACAGGCTTTCTAGCCATTGCAGAGCCAAATGCATCTCTAGGTGCAAAGAAGGTTAAGAACATGTAGTAGAGGTTTAAGCATCTCTGAGGAAGGGATCTACAGAAGCCTGGAAACATAACAAGGGCAACCCAGATAAGCTCAAAAAACACCCATAGAGTTTGTAGAAAAGCCCAAAATAGCTTGTACAAGGATATTTTGGTGCTTTTTCCCTGAAGGGGAGGAAACCAAGAGGGAGGAACCAAGGTCTCTGCTTTAGCCTTTAGCTTCAAGAACAGCTTGATAGCCATCCTGACAATCACATCTGCCAGAGGGACCCTAAATGGGTAATACTCAGGAAGAACAAGCGAGAAGAACGTCAAAGTCACAGCAAACACAAAGGAGAATGAAAACACGAGAATAAGATATAGAGCTATCTTCTTGTGGATCCCATAGAGCCAGTCACAAATCCCAACCATGAACATCATGATAGCAGAGTAGAGAAGGAATGGAAGAAAGTCGAGGACTTCCTGGTAGTAGAAAACTATGAGACCCCTGTAATGCCATTGACGACGAAGAGCTTGTTGGTATGGTGAACCTGTCGTCGAGCGTCGCCCGTATTCGGAACACCAGACTTTTGAGATCATCGCTCCAGATGCGGACATTAGAGTGAATGCTAGCGCGACGAAGAAACATCCGTTCACACGTACGCTGCGTGCGGTGGGACTGAAATTCAGGTTAGCGGCGGGTGGGGGGAAGATGGAGGTTCCGTTGTTGTTCAAGCCGTTGAAACCAGCTTGGAGAGTTGTGATGATGGCTTGTGTTTGGTCTGGTTTTAGTTCTTTATAGGTTTCGAGAACGAATGCTGTGAGTATTGTTGCAAATAGACCTGACTGTTAATATGGTTAGCGGCGAAAAACGGTGGGGAACATTGGAATTGGAACTGACGAAGATTGGGAGGGAATCGAAATCCTTGTTCCAGGTTTCTATGCTTGCGCAGTCGTCCTCGTCTAAGATGAGAGGGAGTGAGGTTGGGGATTGATTTTATAAATAAGCGACGATACGTACCTGCAACCTCGACGTAGTGTTGCCAGATCGGATCTGTCTTGGCGATCCTCTCGTCGGTGACTTCGAATCTGAGCGGCTTCGGGTTTTCGTCCTGAATGTCCGCGTTGATGTTATTCTGATCGTTGCGCACCGCGGTGTATTCAGAGAACGCGGGCGGCGGCGTTATGACAATTGGAGAGCTTGCCCGACGTGTAGTAGTACGTGAGAGAGGCATGGAAGCGTTGGGGGAAATGGAGTAGCATGCGTTTGGTTACAGGCTTTAATGCGTCCTCCTGGGCGTCTAGGGATTGATCATTGAATGGACTTGACATGCAGGGGGGGGTGACACGATAACGAGTCAGCCTACCTCAATGTGTCAAAGTGTCATCTCGGTTGATCGATTGGTTCCGTTCATTTTTCAGCAAGAGGCTGGTGTGATGCAGCGTAGAAACATTTAATCGAGACGACGTGGAGTGGTGAACGACACATCCTGTGGCACTTCCAAGTTTTCGTTCGTGAGGGTTAGAAGGCAAGTAGAACCCAAAAATAGACTCGATCAGTTGACACAGCCACTGATAGCCAAACAACCTCCTCAGCTCGACCATCGACGAATAAGTAACTTTGAAGATGGAAAACGGTGCTTCTCGGTGGCAGGCGCGCAGGCCGTCACTAGTTCACTAGTCACTGCTCGGAATCGTCTCTCGCGGCTTTCAATAAATTCTGATAGTGACATCATGGTCATCTCCGAGTCTACTTAGTACACAGGTTGTCATAGCACTTTCAGCGCTTTTACTTGCAACCACATATATGTATAAACATGGACAGGTGAGAGTTATATTGTCCGCTTGTGGGCTCATTGTTTGCTTTGTGGACGTATAAGTTTCGAAGTCAGGAGCGCCCAGCCCTTCTTATCTCTAACTAATCCCTCACCCTTTGCTCACCCTACCATGCCTTTCTTCCGAGGAGCAACAGACATCGTTGTCAGCGGTGGAGACTTCAACGACGTCTCTGGGAACCTCGTGGTCAACGACACCAGCGAGCGCGTCTCGAACTTCAGGTCCCATAACACGGACGATGTTGTTGAGGTTGACTCGAGCAACACAAGCTCGGCGCGACACGGAGGTCAAGTTCGTGAGTGACATCTACCCTCTAAAATGTCTAGAGGTTCCTTTTTACCAACTGAGTTATTCTCCTTGTTATATTATAGGTTCTACGCGGCGCCCAGCCTCGCGGGAGGATACTCTCCCAGTTTATGACAACCCAAACAACTTCCCCGCTGGCACGCACACTCCGGTTGCCACTGCTGCTAGTGCTTCTACCTCCGCAACAGCCTGCAGAACTAGATTCACGTAGGGCTCCAAGCCGAGCGAACACCATGGCTTCAGATGAGACCGATAATGATAATGACAGAATGGAGGAATGACTTGCAAGTGTAGAATGATGACTTGCGAGGGGCTTTTTTTTTTTTACTGACATTGTTCGAGAGGCCGTTTTGAACTATGGACATGAATCACCTTGTCGCACAATCGGCTTTCTCTGCCAGTGTCTCCTTAACGTCATTGTTATGCGTAGGATTTGGAATCCAAGAGTTGCCATGATTCCGTGAAAAGTCAAACTAAGAACCATCAACTGGCACATTACCTACAGACACTTGAACAGGGCCATAAAACAACGACTTTTCGACACTCAGGTGCGGCCTCCGAAACCCAACAACCACATCATTCTCCTCCCGCTTCCTCTTAATCCTTGCCATATTATCCCTACACCTCTCCTCAACCCACGCCTCGCCCGAGTTACAATACTCAATGGCCGCAGCCTCATACGCCTCATACGCATTCCCGTAATCCCCTCTACGAAGGTACCCATATCCCATATACTCCAACGCCTTTGCAACCTCACCTCGATTCCCAACTTGCGCTGCCATCATCAGCGATACCTCAAGGCGAGCCCACGCTTCCCGGTCTCTATCAGCACTAAAGAGAATCCGAGCGTATTCCTGGGAAATGAATGCTTGGATATATGGGCTGTCGCTCAACTCTGCGTACTTCCACGCTTCCTCAACAGCCGCCAATGCGTCTTGGAGCTGATGTTGGTGATAATGCACCCGGGCGGTGATTTGGTACGCATATGCGAGGTTCGCATCGTTCTCCAAGACTTTCAAGAGGGTCTCGGCTTGGCTTAAGGAGTGGAGTGCCTCTGACCACTGCCCGGGCATGTCCAGGATGACTCCTAGGAACAGGAGGCTCCGGGCATGGATGAGGTTGTCGGAGAGGGTGGAACACCTCCTTTCTACGTCCCTTGCCAAAGAAACAATCTTGCTCTGCTCATCGACATGCCGGGCACAGTTGACCAAGTCAATGCCGCATTGGCCGCCAAGTCGTTGAGTGAGATTATCAGGGGGAAGGGCGTTGTAAAGCTGGTAGGCTTGTTGCAAGTTGGCATAGGCGAGATCGTGTTTGTTATCGAGGTTGTAGTACGTCCTGCCTAGGCACCATACCGCTGATGCGATGTATTTCTCTACCCCGAAGACTTTCGCTGCTTCTACTGTACGGCTGGCAATCTCTGGGTTCGGCGTCGTGTCGCAGTAATGCCAGCCGAGGGCAAGGAACGCTTCGATTGTCTTTTCAGAAAAATTGAAGGAGGGTGAGCGGCTGAAAAGGACGGATTGGATGTTGGTGTCTTCAGCTGCGAGATCCTTTGCATTGACTCGAAATCGGGGGTCGTCGTAACGGCATGCGTTGTCTAGGACGTATTGGCAGCACGAGGAGAAGATCTGGGCTCGGAGATCCTTTTCGATTCGATTGTGCTGCTGCATGAACGATTGAACAACAGGAAGTACGAAGAGGACGGGGGAGGTGGTGGATTGATGGGTTTCTTGACCAGCAGTGCTGCGGCTGAAAGACTGACAATGGCAGAGGGAATCATAGATACCTCAAGAGTAGGCGCCCACCAGGAGAGGTTGTCTTTTGTCGTCCCTGCTGGTAGTATTGAGAGAACTTTGAGAAGGAGGCTCATGCTCTGTTCATCCTGGCCAGGAAGGATGTCGGGCCCGAACTTCGACCACGCGTTCAACAACTCCCTCGCCGTTGACTGCCCTTGTTTGCCGAGATTGGCCATGAGGGTGACAGCGAAAGGCATGTGTCCCAGAGTGCCCAGCAACACTTTGACATCTGGGTCGTTCTCCGAATCTGGGTTGATGTCGTGGAAGATACGCATGCATGCCTCTTCGTCGGTAGGTTGGATGTCTCGCAACTGCCAAGTGATGGCTTTGTCGCAGGGAGCTTGACTTCCGCGCATGGTGACGAGGATGGAGACATGCTTCAACATTGCTAGCTGTCGGAAAATGTCACCAACTTGCTTCTGCGCTCCGCCTGGCGCCTTCCATGGCGTCTCAAAATTATCAAGTAGGATGAGGCGGGGTTGTGTGGAGGCATCGAGTTGGGAGATGACCTTTGAGAGCGTCATTTGCTTTGTTCGTGGTATTTGGAGTTGGGTGTATAAGAGCTCAAGGAGGAGGGTCGCGGATGTTGCTTCAATGCAGGGAACCCAGAAAAGGTGTTCAGAAAAGAAGTGGGCTTTGATCCGCGGTGATTCGACGACTGCGAGGGAAACTGAGGTTTTTCCCATGCCCCCTGGGCCTAGAATGCAAACACGAGAATATTCCTCTTTGATGAGGTGCTTGGATATGTCTCGAACAAGGGCTTCGCGTCCGTGGAATATCTCCAGCTTAAGAGGCATTTGTTGCTGAACGGCGACTGTGTCTGATTGATCGAGCCTCCATGCAACTTTTGGTGGCTAAGTGTTGCATAAGATCGTGCATCCCTTCTAGGCGAGATTGTAGCTTTTGTAGGTAGTAAGAGTCTCGGAGATCATTGGCGAGCTAGAAAGTTCGGCGGTTGAGCAAAGGCGTTGTGAGAGGAAACATGGAGAGACTTCAGATACCTTGAATCTCTCCATGGCAGTCGACAGCCTATTCAGACAGTTTTCGAGCTTTCTCATGTTCACGTCTTTGTATATTGCTGTTAACAATGCGTGCTGCCCACCGATCGTCTTCAAGTCATCGTGAATTGTCTTGAGAGTGCTACAAGATTATGAGACCATCTCAAACCGAATTCAAAGAAAACAAACCTCAGCAATTCTTTGATGTCCCCTTCCATACCCTTCATGGCATTCACAATTGCCCTCCTTGCTGTCTTCGACGTCGTTTTGGGACGTTATGTGGTCCACGATGATGATGATGAGATGGCTGACTCTACATTTCAACTCCTTAACCCTCTTTTCAACCGCCGATGCGTCCTAAAAGTGTTGTTCAAAGCCCTTCGTCGTTGCCCTGCCGATGTGGGACCAGAAAAGACGAACCTCGCAGAGTTCAATGGTCTTCAGCGCAACGCCGATCGTTTCTTGTAGCAATGGGAAGGGTATAACATTGGATGCAGCGTGTAGCAGCGTTAGAACTTGTTTCCCGCTGGCAGTGATGTACTCTGTAGTTGTAAAAACAATTGTTCGATCGTTTCCGGACGATGTCTATGGACATGAGATCGTTCATTACAGCCCACAAGGCACGAATGGACCACTCACCTCAGTAGCTTTCGTCACCGCGCCTCTTCGACCCTCCGGCTCGATAAAGTTCTGAACCTCCGGGTGGTCCGCACAATCCGGAATCTTCTTTTACCATCCCGTCGCGTAAGCCAAGGGAAACGTCCGGTACTGAGCATGATCCAGAACTGGTGCACAGAGCAAGGTGACAGTGTAAAGCGCTTCTAACGCGGGGACCGCCCGGAGTACGGGCAACTGCAACGGCACATCTGTCAAACTAAAAATATTCACTGACGATGACAAGAGTGTATTGGATGAGAAACTCACTCTTTAATTCTGGAAACTTGACCGTGTAAACACCATGTTTCCATGCAGATCTTCGTGGTCATCGTGGAAAGGAGCTGGGGACTTGACCAACGGTGACCAAACACATCATCACTCCGAGTCCCCCGTTCGCCCTTCGCCAATATTACGGATTGCCTCTCAGCCAACGATGAGCATATTGCGATGGGCCCAAATGCGAACGTCCCACTGCCACTGCACCTGTGACATCATGTCGGGATTTTCCAACTCTGTGATTCGAACTCCTAAATCACGACACCTGTCTTAAAACATAAAAACTACTCTCATCGCCATCCTACGTCTTTACAGCGGGTAATTGGATCAACATTCGCGTCCATCGTCAAAATTCCAAGTTATATGGAACCATGGCCGATACTCGATAAAGACGATCCCCTTGCTCTGTTGCATGCAAAGTTTTGGGGCAAAAACATGGAAGACGAGGAGCAGAGGTGGCTTGACGCACAGCAGGCAACACCTGCTACGGGGAGTGAATTTGGGTTACGGGATCAGGAAGGAGAGGAGCGCGTTGACGTCGTCATGAACGAGAAGATGGTTGTGGAAGAGACAGCAGTTGTGGACGAAAACATGAATAAGGCAACGACAATGGACCCAGACGACGATATCATTCCCGGTTGTTACATGCTCGACATTAACATCGATGGACTCAAGTACTCAAAATTGTGGATTCGAGCCGAATACATCCGTGTTTTCAATTCCGTCAACGCTTATTACGATGAACCCACGTCCACGCCAGGGGCACCCTGTGTAGTCGTCACAGGCCAACCAGGGATTGGTGAGCTTGTCACGTCCTCGGATCTTTATTGAAAATGACACGTTTGCATAGGCAAGAGTGTTTGGGTCTACTATGCTTTGCGTCGATGCCTTGCCGAAAGGAAACCGGTCATCTGGTACTCCAAGAGGTGCTGCTACATGTTTGCGGAGGATGGTGTCTACGAGATGCCTGCCGATTTCCAGAGAGCTAACCTCAAATCATACATCTGGACCTTGGTCGATTCCGATGAGGCTCCGGACGGCGTTCCACCCTATCTCGTCCCGCACAGGACTCCACTTTTTGTCATCTTCTCCACCTCTCCACGTGATGACAGGTGGTCGCGTCTACACAAGACGGTGCGCCCGATGGTCGCAATCATGAATCCATGGAAAAGGAAAGAGATCTTACGAGCGTAAGTCCAGTATGTAATGTTGCGACGAAGCTCACACATTGAGTAACCGCAGTGCAACGATATACCCCCTAGGTTGCATCAGCGAGTCCCGGACGAACGAAATATTTGATCAGCTTGGTCCTACCCCTCGCCTCTGCATCGATTATCAACTAAACTCTAAGGCCATGAGTCGGTATGAAAGTAACCTCCGCACCGCACTTTCGAAGGTCACGTCAAATGACCTGGAATTGTTGCTCATCACCGCTTGCGATGGGGACTTGGGAATCGATACCCTGTCTGACAAGATTGCTCTCCTCAGCCGCGAATCATTGGACGATGTGTATAGCCAAGGCATGGTCATCCCTATCACCCCTTACATCCAATCAAGACTCTCCAATCGGTGCCGCAACCTGGAACGCAAGGAACTTTTACGTCTTTACAAGGCCTTTGCAAGGGTGCCTGAAGGGAGGACGATGGCTGGTGTTTTCTTCGATGCCCTTGGACAGACGGCGCTCCAGGAGGGGATTACACACGAGCTCGTTCCCATGGTGAAGTTGGACGAAGCTTAAAAGAGAGCGCCTTGATGGCACTCTAGCCACGAACTCTTTGCAACTGGAGGAACGGCGTCAGCATACGTTGACATGTCGCTTCAATGTTGATAAACGCATCGGAACGGAAACACCTGTCACTTGCCCACAACGTCATGTGTGTCCGGGAAGCGAACAACAAGGTGGCTTTTGCTCCCTCTGTCATCACAACTAGAAACTCAGTGGAGAAATGACCCCGCAACAGACTTTGGAAGCCACACGTCTTTAGAAGAGAAGAAGGGAAGCCGGAAGTTGTATTTTTGCTAAGCTTCAAGTCTACATTACACTTAGGTCCTTTGCGAACCCATTTCTTGAATCATCTCAGAGTCCCATGAAAACAATACAGACAGATAAAGAAAATGCGAGTCCGACACTAGTAAAATGATAATGGGTCCTTGCACGTCCGAAAGCTAGCCTGGAACTTCCATTGGCCGATTACAGACTAGGTCGACCAAGGGCTGCGCAACGGTAAGGGACCATTGCTTTGGAGCTTTGTACTTGTCCAATATTCTTTGTCGATAAAGTTGCATGATTCCTTCCCGTACGTAGGTGACAGTATTACTTCGCTGGCTATACCACTTAATCAAAGCTTCAAGCGTCTTCTCGTCCTTGATATCAAAAACATAAATCTTCTCCATGACGAGTGTTGTGTCTAGGTATAAGTTACGGTGTTTAAACCCCATCAGATTCGGAAGAGCGTTCACCTACCTGCCACCCGCTGTTCCCATTTACAAAATCTCAGCAAGTCCGGATCGCCGCCTTTCACCTCCAAAAAACCCGAAGATCTCTGATCTCCAATGTGATGTCGGCTGTCGTCCAGATACTTTTCCAGGAGGCGAATAAGCTTATTAAAATAGCAGGATGGTAAGCTTCGCTGCACATTTGAGACGCCATGATAAAGCACCCACCTTCGCCGTATGCGCTTGAGATCCAGACGTCGGGTCAGTCCAAAATGTTTCCCATGTCTTGATGAAGGGTCCACCGCGGAACATCGGTTTAGAATGGTCTTTGTCGCAATTCCCTGAGGTTCTGCTTATTAGTCGAGGTCAACTGCCTTTCGACGGTCAAAGAACTCACAATTAAGTCCATTTCTGATAAAGAAAGGTAGATTTGAGACTCAGCGTCGGTTTTTGAGACAAAACTCACGAGGCTGAAGTGGTCAGCTTGATTTTAGTGTCAGTATTTTGAGCCGTGGCAAAGAAGGTGCTTAGGTCGTAAACATCCCGCTCTTTGCGCTTCAAGTCCGTTTCCGTGAGCTCAAGGACTTTCAGTGTTTCCTTGATTAATTGGGCTAGACGGCTGTCATCAGGGGAAGACTTGTGCACTATGCACTCCGTGAGGCATTATTACGCAGAATGAAAAAAGAATCCTACCTTCAGATAGTGTTACGACCGCTTTCGGAGGATGTTGCATATTGTCCAAAGGCTTCTTGTAGTGCTGCTCAAAAAGCGCGTTAGCCTGTGTTACAGCGAGCTTTTCAACTTCGTCATCATCGATTTCCTCATCTTCCTCCTCGGCACGTTCTTCTATTTTTTGCTGCACATCTTGGAGAAATGTGTCGAATTTCGTCACAATAGCTACAATGGGCACTGTAAGGGGCATCAGTATAAAACAAGCTTTTCGGTTATAAGGATATATGTACATACCTCGTGAAGGTGTCGAGAAAAAATCCTTTTCTGCTTGTTGAATCGGCCGCGAGTTCATCTCCATGCAGTACCTGTGTGGAATTGAACCATGACTTGACGTAACTAGAAGAGGAAGGAGGACGAACCAGACCAAGTGCAACCTTTGATTTATGTCCTTTTCTCTCGATCTTCTGTCAATAAACTTCCTAACGATGTCGACTTCATTTTGTTTTCCCGCTTCAAAGCCCTCAGAATCGTGAGCGATAATTTTGCTGTTCCCCTCGAATTCAATCTCCTTCTCAATGTTGTGGATACCCCTCTGCCCAGTATTATTTGACATGTCGGCAACATTTTAACGTGATTGCGCTTACCGTGGTACTGGGGAGGTCCACCTTGCAAAAAGAAAGATCGTCTTGACCAGTTGATAGATTTCGCGTGAGCTTACCATATTCCCGCCGCATACCTAAAACAAATTTAGGATTTCCCTGGGACTCGGGAAATGATCCTGGTATTTACCTTGCTTAGAATTGTCGTTTTACCGCATCCTGTCTTTCCGATGATCAACATTCTAAACTTTCTAAGCGGTTGGGGAGCAGAAGAAGTCGCTGCAAGTAATAATTTCTTCAACTCTTGCTCTTCGACGTCATCTAGTTGAGGCGCGGATTCAGATTCCACGTCCGCTTCCCGACCTTTAGATGGAGCCTTCAATATTCTTTTGAAGGGGTTGAGACCTTTCAAAGGTTTGGGTGAGGGTTTCGGGCGAGGGCGAAGTGCCTCGCGTGTTGCCTGTTCAAACACAACACGAATACCATCTCCAGTCATTCCGGAGCATTCAACATAATGTCGCGCTTGTATTCTTTCTGAAACTTTCTTTCCCTGACATGAGGATGAAACGAATTAGAGTTTCCTCTCAACCGTTTTGTGCGCCCACCTCATCATAAGTGACTGGGTGCCGACCATTGTAATATTTCGAAAGATAGCTGATGGTAGATGGATCGTCTCTCAGTTCATTTTTGCAGCCTACAAGAATGATAGGGATTCCCGGACAGAAGTGATTCACTTCTGCGATCCACTGTTGTGAATGGTATGAATGACGACTTTATACACATCTCGCATGACTCACTTTCTCATAGATATTTTCCAATGAATCAGGGCTGTCAATGGCAAAACACATAAGTACGACATGTGTATCAGGATAACTCAGAGGACGGAGACGATCATAGTCCTCTAAACCACACGTATCCCATAAAGCCAACTCAACGTGTTTCCCATCCACCTCCACATCAGCAACGTAGTTGTCAAAAATGGTGGGAGCAGGAGACTATCGTGAGACTGTGTTCAGAGGTTCCCATTTCTCACTTAGATGTTTTGATAGCCATACCCGATGAACTACACCGGTTGCGAATAAAGGCAACACGCATGTCTGTACAAGATGCGAAGTCAGAAATTCGGACGTTGTAGCGCGGAAGTTTGAGGGTGTGCTGAACTTACCTTCCCACAGGCTGCATCGCCAACAATGACCAGCTTTCGCCGAATCTGACTCATCGCTTGATCCCCCTTGTGCAGCAATGCCGATTTCGCCTTATCGCCCAAAGCTTGGAACCTGGAGGGAGAAAGAAGTTATTTGTCAATATTTACTCACCGAAGTTTATTTTTATCGTGTACACGCTTGGTACTCGCCAACATCTTCAGCTCGAACACTCGATTCTACAAAACGTGAACCCGAATGAATTTGGGGAATGGTGCTTCTCATCGGTGACGGGCATGCAGGGAGGCCGCGTGTGATTCGAACTCAACACTTGTCTTGAGCCCGAGAAAACGTGATATTCTTAGGGCCAACTAGGGGAAACTACTTGAAACACACCACTCTCATCACTAATGATTCGCCATCCTATGTCTTCACAGCGGATATCTGGATCAACGCTGGCGTCCGTCGTCAAAATTCCAACTTACATGGAACAATGGCCGACACTCGATAAAGAAGATCCCCTTGCTCTGTTGCATGCGAAGTTTTGGGGCAAGAACATGGCGGACGAGGAGCAGAGGTGGCTTGACGCACAGAAGGCCAATACTGCGGGAAGCAAGCTTGGGTTACGGGATCAGGAAGGAGAGAAGCGCATCGACGCCGTCGTTGAGGAGAAGATGGTTGTGGATGAGACAGCGCCAGTTGTTGACGAAACCATGGATAGGGCAGCGACAATGGACCCGGACGACGATTTCATTCCCGGTTGTTACACGCTCGACATCGGCATCGACGGACTCATGTCCAAATTGTGGATTCAAGCCGAGTACATCCGTGTTTTCAATTTTGTCAGTGCTTATTATGACAAACCCTCGTCCATTCCTAGAGCACCCTGCGTAGTCGTCACAGGCCAACCAGGGATTAGTGAGTTTATTGCCTCCTCGGATTGTTTTAAAAATGACACTTTCGCATAAAGGCAAGAGTGTATGGGTTTATTACGCTTTGCGCCGATGTCTTGCGGAAAGGAAACCTGTCATTTGGTACTTCAAAGAGTGGTGCTACCTGTTTGTGGAGGAGGGCGTCTACAAGATGCCTGCCGACTTCCAGGAAGCTAACTTCAGATCCTACATCTGGACCTTGGTTGATTCCGATGAGGCCCCGGAGGGCGTTCCACCCTATCTAGTCACGCACAGGACTCCGCTTTTTGTCATCTTCTCCACATCTCCACATGGTGACAGCTGGTCGCGTCTACACAAGACGGTGAGCCCAGTAGTCGCAATCATGAACCCATGGAAACGGAAAGAAATTTTACGAATGTAAGTCCAGTATTCGATATTGCGACAAAGCTCACACATTGAGGAACCATAGTGCGTCGATATACCCCCCAGGTCGCATCGATGAGTCTCGCACGAACGAAATATTCGATCAACTTGGTCCTACCCCCCGCCTCTGTATCGATTTTCAACTTAACTCTGAGGCTATGAGTCGGTACGAATTGGACCTCCGCACCGCACTCTCGAAGGTTACGCTAAACGACCTGGAATTGTTGTTGAGCACCGCTCGCTGTGGGGACATGGGAACCGATACCCTGTCTGAAAAGATTGCCCTCCTCAGTCGCGAATCATTAGACGATATGCATAGTCAAGGCGTGGTGAACCCGATCACTCCTTACATCCAATCAAGACTCGCCAATCGGTTCCGCAACCTGGAACACAAAGAACTTTTACGTCTCTACAAAGCCTTTGCAAGGGTGCGTGAAGGGAGGATGGCTGGTGTTTTCCTTGAGGCCCTTGTGCAGACAGCGCTCCAGGAGGAGATCACACTGTCAGAGGCGTGAACGTTATGTATAAGCAGTGGCCTCATTCCTCCCTCCGTCAATGACAACTAGAATTCTAGGGGGAAAATGAATGGCCCTCCACTTATCTGGTCCCTCTCTTCGTCTTGCTCGAATACACCCTCGCAACCACTCCAACAACCTTTGAAAAGCTCCCCGTGTTCGCCGTCATCCAGCACTAGTACGTGAAGAGCTGGCACCTTTTTCACTTGCCCCTCCTTTGATGATGCTATGAAACGATGTGAGGGACAAGAATACAGGTCGCAGCGGATAATTCCTCGGTTCTCAAGGGAGAACCTGCTTGGTATCCGTCATCCTGATGTAGTAGGAAGCGTATAGTGGGAAGCGTGCAGCTGGCAGTCAATCGCGGTGAATCGAATGTCTGGTACAAGAGGTTAGAAATTTACTCACCGCTGCGTAGTTTCAATTATCGAGAAAAGACAAATTTTGTCAATCCGATCGTGCACTGTTTTTCTAAAACCGTACGAGCTCGACCTGCGAAGCCAGGGCTTCCCCCTGTCCAGCCTCATAGCAGAACATCTACGGGATTAAATACTTTCCGCGTTTTCTTGAGTGTATCAGGTGTAGCTGCTGTACACCCTGGACAACGACGCACGCGGGCAGGCAGGGGATAATTTTTATTTATTGGACTTTCGCTCGAATTCAAAAAAGAAAACGGTTACTTCTAAGATACATTGACCGAGACAGGGGTCGAACCTGCAATCTCCTGATGTAGCGTTATCGTAGTCAGACGCGATGCCATTTCGCCACACGGCCACATACGAAGTTGGCACAGCCACTAATACAGTGATAGTGGACGACCTTTTCAGCTCGAACTCTACAAAACTTGTACAAAACACGAACCCGAATTATTTCGAAGATGGAAAACAGCGCTTCTGAACGATGACAGGCATGGAGGCCGTCATTGCTCAAAACCGTCTCTCGCGCCATATAAATGATTCCTGACTAGAAGTGCCAATCGTGGTCGTTTTTTCCGAGTCTTGGTCCCTCGCCCATAACCGCAGACTATGGATCGCCCCTTGGCAGCCAACGATGAGCACACGACCAGTGGCGACGGGCCCAAACGCGAACGTCGCACCGCGGCAGCACGCATTACATCATCAGTTTCGGGAGACCAGCCTGTGTCGTCAACAAACCGAGAACACTCCATACCCTCAATCACCACATTCATGGCTCGTCACGCACAGCAACCCGCCAATTCTACACAAGCAGAGATCTCGCCCCCAGTTTTACCTATTATTGCTTTGTCAATCCCCCCAGCAACGTCCTCCTCTACTATTGGAGAAAAAGACGTCGCGGATGTTGATGGTAACGAGGAGGAACCGCGTCCACACCCATTCACCGGCCCCTCCCTCCCCGCCGACATCGAGCCACAACGATCCGTGACGCTTGATGGGCCGCGTGGCGCTTCGACGCGTCAGCCTCGGTCAGGCATTGACTGGATAGTCCCCGTGGACGAAAAGGTTCTTACACCTTCACAACGTCCTTTGCCAAGCTTAGTACATATCCCCATTTCATTCGTAACAGACCTTCCGACAAAAAGCCATTAGAGAACGACTAGATCCTACGCTCATAACAGCCATTTCGGAGCGAGACAAGTGTGCGCTTAATGCGAAGATGGCGGGGTACGCACTCAACGCGGCGATTGGGCTTCAAGTCCTTTTGGGGTCTTTGACGACGGGGTTGGCGGCTGTGACGAGTGGGCGGCAGGTGCTCTTTATCTCCTTCTTTCCTTGCTTCCATTGTAAGCGGTCGTTGAAATGATTGGAGTGCATATATTCAACTAGACGGCGATTGCGACGACGGTCTTGGGTACGTTCATAAAAAAAAACCGCATATATGCGTACTAACTTATTTACATACACAGGCGGACTATCAACCATCGTCGCTTCGTACCTTGCTCGAGCCCGGGGTTCCAACGAACCCGAACTGTCCATTGCGCGAGTAAAAGACCTGGAACAGTTCATCCGCGAATGCGAGGCGTTCAAGATGGATAATGGGCATGTGTATGGGGACAAGTTTGATTCGGCGTTGGAGGACTTTAGAGCTCTGTTTGAGGAACTTTTGGGTAATGCGAATGGGTGAGCGCTTCGTTTCGTTTTTTTTTGGAGTGCTGCTGTTTTTTTCTGATTTGGAGGCATGGTAGTGAACGTCGACTTGCTCCGCCTGTGTGGTATGAATGGGACTTTGACGTTGTTTGCTTTAACTTTATTTCACATATGTACTTCACTCATCGCATGCTCATAGAATCTGTAGCATGTTTTCATTCTTGTAACTTACATTCCGGCCGTCGCGCATAATACCACCCAAATGTGCCCGCTCATGATGAATAGAAACCCCCATGATTTGCCTTTGGCGCGCGGATCTATCAGCCAATCTATGTGAGAAAAACAAGTCTTCTGTTAATTGAAATTTGAACTCGCCTTTGAAATGTTCTTCTGAATCACATCAGCCAAAATCACATATATATTCTGAATCTCCCTCAACCGTTCCCTCGCGGAGTATATTTGCCATTTATCGTGTTCTTCTAGAGCACCTTCACTTGTATCCATCACCATTCCTCTGAAAGGCCATGATGCAATCAAGGCTTTCTCGGATTTTCTTACACGCTCGGGTGTGACTCTGAAGCACTTGTATATTATTGATTATGTCCCAAGGGAGGAAGCGCTGTTGTGGAAGATATTTGACACACTACCCAACCTGTCACACTTGGAGATTGACGAACCTAACCAGTTAGATCCAAAGTCTGGGTTTCCACAGCCTTGGCTCCCATCTCGGAGGTTTTTCAACTATTTCAGCACTCCCAACACGACATCGGGTGGTTTACCGTTGCCACATTTGACAAGTGTCTTATACCGGGGTCAGCTCAAATTTCAAACCACCCTGAAACCCAGGAATGTGGGCTTAAAGAATAGTGTCGATGTTGACACCTTGGAAAAGGTGTTTTTAGCTAGGTGGAATGCTGGTCTCCGCTCCGATGATGCTGTGCGACTTCAAGAGTTCAGCTTGTTACTTACTAATTCGCCGGGATGGGTCACAAAGTTGGAACAATCTCTCGTCGTGAAGGAATTGCGCAAGGAGGGCATGCGTCTGGTGTTTAAGTTTGTCGAACCGCAAGAGCAGATGAAATTGGACGAACGTCCGAGGTGATTTGCTTAGGTGAAATCATCAATCGAACATCCCTATTCATCTTTTGCTTTCATCAAACATATCATGGTTGGTTCCTGTAGACAAATCTTACTCGTGATGAAGATGATAGTGAGCAGGAGAATGAGCCGTTCATGCCACGAACTGTAGTACATAATAGTAATTTACATGAGGTGAGCTCGACCTCCCCCCTTGCCACAAGCTGTTCCGCAACAGAGTAGGTTGTGAGCGAGATATGCCCCTTTTCCATGTCCAGCGTCGCGCCGCTGCGTAATGAGGTGATTGTCAGCATGAGAGTCGAAGGTGAAGGGGGCATGGGGTGGGAGGGAGAGGGAAGAAGCTTACTCGGGCAACGTGAATCGTGGACCCAGGACACCGTGTCAATGCGTGTACGAAGACGGGATGCGATTTGTCTGGTTCTGTTACTGATGGTGTATTGTATTAGCTTATGTTGGGTGAAGCAAGTAGGAAGGAGGAAGGGACATTTGTAGAAGGAAAGGGAGGAGGGAAGGGGGGGGAAGGAAGGAGGTATCAAGGGAGAAAGAGAGAAGGAAGAAGGGGGTTAAGGGACAAAGGAAGGGGAAAAAAGGAGGGAGGGATGGGAGGAGGAAGAAGGGAAAGTGAGGAAGGAAGGAAGGGAGGAAGGAGACGCGAAGAGTGGCGGGAAACGAGAAAAGGAAAACAAAATGGAAGAAACGAAGAAGGCGGAAGGTACGAACCCTTGGACGGGTAAAACACGGGTGTCTTGGGCTTCTGGCAGGCTTTGGAGGACAGATTAGCGAAAGTGCTGATCTGTTATTTTCGCGTGTCTAGATAGGCGTTGATTAGCAGAGGAGGACACGGGAAAAGGGCGATGGCATACCGACTTGCGTGGTTCCTCTCAGCCGCTGTCAAGCATCTTAGCGTTGGAGGTCACGAACCGGGTGTATTTCTCTACCTTCCCGATCATCAGGTTCAGTAGCAACGATACAAAAGACATAAAAGTAAGACGCACCTTGAACAACCTCGTATGGACATCATGATAAACTTGACACGTTCAATTTCCGTCTGCACGAGCATAATCCGGATATGTTCTTTGTCGGACGAAGAAGGGTCACCAGGAAGGAGGTGAACGGCTTCTGACTATCCGTCATTCATCTTATATCCACACACAAGATAGAAACGCACGGGTGAAGGCCCACGCACCTGGCGCCTGAGATGGCTGAGCGGCTCCTGCACGGGTAAGATGTCGGGGGCGTGTCTTTCGTTGAGCCAGTGTCTTGTTAGTTGATAAAGAGGCATTTCTGGCGTGCTCTGGAGGCGAAAAGGGTTGATATTATTGGAAGAGCTGGTGCTTCGGGGAGGAGCACTCTGGAGGTGGGCGCTCTTGGGCGCTCGAATTCTTCGACCCAATGGTGGTGGCGTAACATGGACAAACAACGCGCTTTATACTTACCTCTTTTCAGGCCGTGACTTGGCCGGGCCCGTGAGGTTCACAGGCGAGACTTGGCCGAGACTACAATGTAACCAGAATGTCGGACCGCCCGCTGACCTGGCCACGAGCCTCAGTGCTACAAGCCTGGACGCTCCCTCGGAAAACGCCGCTGATGCCCTCACGTGCGGCCATAGCTGAACGTGACGTAGTGAAGGGTCCGTCGCGTTAATGTATCATGTCGCGTCTCGTTTCCGAGCCTCTTGTAATTATCACACTGCTCGCAAACATTCAGTTCCACATATATGAAGAGTCATTGAATGCATTAGACACATATAACACATCATGCATCATGCTTAAGTTGGGTGCTGGACTTGTTACTTGCTAGTTTTGTGGTTATTGGTTGTTGATTGGTTGATGCTTAGCTTGACTTTGTAAGTTCTTCTTTATACCTTTCACTATCCATTTGTATTAGAACAATGTAAAGTTATTCCTCGTGAAATCCGTTACCGTCGCCACAAAATGCGTATCATAAAGCGTATACAGCGCTAAGTTCTAACACTCTATTTGGTAACTGTTTGGTGGTGTTGATTCCGTCACTCCGTGTCATTTATAGAAAAAATTGAGGTATCTTTCACAACAGTCGTTTGAAATTTGAAAGTATCCCTGTTTTCGAAATTCATGGCTTTTTTTTTTGAGATGTAGGTTGTCCTGACAAAAAATCTAAGTAAGTTGCTGTGTAGACTTGTGTAGAGCGGAGTCTCTGATGAGCTGACGGGCTTTGCCGAATGATGCGGTGATCGTTCCCAGGCTACCAGCCTCAAGGCTAGTAGCCGACTCTTCGGGGGGTCAGACAGTCCCAATGTAACGTAAGGTAGATGACAACCATATCCTTTCAACGTCACGTGCACGGTGTGACATTTCCATTTTAAGCCTCAATTACACAGATAATGTCCTAGAATATTTTGAACACGAATCGCAGCTAATCGGAAACCATAGAACTGAGCTGAATGCAGATTTCATGGAGCACAAAAAAAATTAAAGCAGTAAAACGAAATTTGAGGGAAAAGAAACAAAAATACTTCACGACACGTCAATTTGAAGCAATACTTATCACTCCCCCACCTATTCCTACTGGACTCCAGGACTCCAGTAGGATTCCTACTGGATTCCTACCGGATTTTGACAAAATTTCCAAAAAGGCATTTTCACATATTTCTCCATTCCCCCTCCTACTGGACTCCAACTGGACTTAAACAAATTAGATGAAATGCTCCACACATTGAAGTCCTACTGGATTCCTACTGGATTCCTACTGGATTCCTACTGGATTCCCACTGGAATATCAACTTCAATGTATTACCAAGTCAGAACTTCAAATTTCTATTCAAAATTCACATTAAACAAATGTTGTATGGA